TCTGGATCAGTTTTTTATTTTGACTTGGAAGTAATCATGTACTAATCGAGACTTGTATTTAATATGATTGCATCTCTTAAGGTATGGTGGTTCTTTATTATATTTGAGAGTGTTTGACGAGGGAAAATTTGAGAGTGTGCTTATTACTAATTATTACATAATTCTTTCTGAAGTAAAATCAAAACTCATTGTGGAATAGTATGTCATCCTTACTTAAAAGTAAATAATAGGGCTGGTGGAGTGGCTCAGGCAGTAAAAGCACCTGCCTACCCAGCATGAGACCCTGAGTTCACACCCCAGTACCACCAAAAAAAGTAAATATTACAGTTTAAACAGAGGAAAATTGAAGACAGAGTTCCTTTGTATGTAGTACCTCCATAAAATAAATGCCTTATGGATAGGTATGCAATGCATCATGACTGAATGACAAATGTATTTTATTTTCACTTCTGGGGTCAAGGAGGAAAGCATAAAGAATTCTGGAACATAAAACAAAACTTGGTTTTACTAGTTTTAGTTGTTTTTTAAAGAAAAAAATCCCCACACTCTAGACTTAGGCAAGGTGAACTTCTTTCAATACCCTGGAAGTCTGTCATTTCTCTCACATCTAGGCATTGCCACTGTGTTCTCTGGCATGCAGGCCTTTTCCCTGATCCACTCCTCCATATTTCTGGGGAAGGCTTTTGTTAACCTTTAAATGGAGGGGAATGCCGTTCCATTCTCCTTTGCTTATCCCATTGTAGTAGTTATCTTAATGCACTGCAAGCCCCTGTTTGCTTTCATATCTCTGTAAACTCTGTGGCATCCATCAGTGGTTGTGTCTACATTGTTCACCTTAAATTCCCAGACGAACATGTTGTCTCACATCCAGTTATGTGTCTATTTAATGAACCAGTTGAATAAAAATATTTAAACTAAGATCTCAGGCTATCAAAGACAAACTTCAGAATTAAAATCTATAACTATGGCTGACATTTCTGTGTGGTCTTTTAAACTGAACATTTGGATAAAGTAACTCTACTGTTTGAAGGAATATTGGTGGATCGAAGGTTAGTGCATGGCTTCCCTGGAAAGATAACTTGAAGTCACACCCTTCGATATATGTTAGGTTATATGAAATCAGTACCAGTCCCACTACCTCCGATAAAAGATTTCAGATGCTGGAAAACAAAGTAAGTTGGGTTTGTCTGAGTGTGAGCAGTAAACGGTTAGGCCTCTGGGTGTCGCTGTTGACCACGGAAGAAGAAAACCTCAGCTAACCCAGCGCTTGTCCACCATTTGCTTCCTCCGAAAACGCAAAAAAACAGCAAGTCAGACTGAGAAGATTGAGGCGGTCACCAAGCTCACCTCATAAATCAACCAGATCAACCAGCTCTGTGATTTATGAATTAAGCCCATGAAGGACTTAATTCCTTGAGAATACAAGATTGGGGGCCATCGTGGAAATCTGGAACAGAATTCAGACAAAATAATTCATCAAAAAGGAAATGACCAATTGCCTGAGATTCCGAACTAGCAGAGGACTGGTTCTGTTATGCGTTCTCCTGGGGGCCCTATGGGACATCCGGGCGGAACAGATCCGCTACTCGGTGCCAGAGGAGTTGGAAAAAGGCTCCTTCGTGGGGAACATCTCCAAGGACCTGGGGTTGGAGCCCCGGGAGCTGGCGGAGCGCGGAGTCCGCATCGTCTCCAGAGGTAGGACGCAGCTTTTCTCTCTCAACCCGCGAGGCGGCAGCTTGGTCACCGCGGGCAGGATCGACCGGGAGGAGCTCTGCGCTCAGAGTCCGCGGTGTCTGCTAAAATTTAACATTCTAGTTGAGGACAAATTGAAAATTTTTGAAGTAGAAATAGACATTAGAGATATTAATGATAATGCACCTAGTTTTCCAACAGAAAAATTGGAAATAAAAATTGGTGAGCTAACAGTTCCTGGGACCCGATTTCCACTTAAAACTGCCTTTGACCCAGATGTAGGCATGAACTCCTTGCAAAACTACAAGCTCAGCTCCAGTGACTACTTCTCATTGGCTGTGACCAGCGTCCCTGATGGTGCAAGTACCCAGAGCTGGTACTGGAACAGGCCCTGAACCGTGACCTCATTGCCTCTGATGGTGATGACCCTGTCAACTCTGGCAACTTGTGCCTCCAAGTGATAGTGTTGGATGCAAATGACAACCCACCCGTCTTTACTCGTCCTGAGTACCATGTCAGTGTTCTGGAGAATGTGCCAGTGGGCACTCGGCTGATCACAGTAAATGCCACTGATCCGGATGAGGGATTCAATGCTCAGGTGTCCTATATTCTAGATAAAATGCCTGGAAAAATCGCTCAGATTTTCCATCTCAATTCAGTGACTGGGGACATATCAATCTTAAAAAGTCTAGATTATGGAGATGCTACCTTCTATGAAATTAAAATTGAAGCACAAGATGGGCCAGGTCTTTTTTCAAGAGCCAAGGTTCTAGTCACGGGTTTGGATGTGAATGACAATGCCCCAGAAGTTACAATCACTTCTCTCACAGGCTCAGTCCCTGAAGAGGCTACTGCAGGAACAGAAATTGCTCTTATCAATGTGCATGGCCGAGATTCTGGGCAGAATGGGCAAGTCACAGTTTTTATCCTGGGAAATCTGCCATTTAATTTAGAAAAAACAATTGACCAATATTACCGCTTAGTGACAGCAGGATCTCTGGATCGAGAACTGGTGTCCCAATATAATATCAGTCTGAGAGCCACAGATGGGGGAAGTCCCCCGCTCTCCACGGAAACTCACATCACTCTGCACATGGAGGACATCAACGACAACCCTCCTACCTTCACTCATGCCTCCTACTCTGCCTACATTCCAGAAAACAACCCTAGAGGAGCCTCCATCTTCTCTGTTACCGCCCAAGACCCAGACAGTGAGAACAATGCCCGCATCACTTATTCATTGACAGACCATATTCTCCATGGGGTGCCACTGTCCTCCTACCTCTCTATCAATTCCAACACAGGTGTCCTGTATGCACTGCGCTCTTTTGACTATGAACAGTTTAGAAACCTGCAGCTACTAGTGACAGCTAGCGACAGTGGGAACCCTCCACTGAGCACCAACGTGTCGCTAAGCCTGTTTGTGCTGGACCAGAATGACAACATGCCTGAAATCCTGTACCCTGCCTTCCCTACAGATGGTTCCACCGGCGTGGAGCTGGCGCCCCGCTCCGCAGAGCCTGGGTATCTCGTGACCAAAGTGGTCGCAGTAGACAAAGACTCAGGACAGAACGCCTGGCTTTCCTACCACCTGCTCAAGGCCAGCGAGCCAGGACTGTTCTCCGTGGGGCTGCACACAGGTGAGGTGCGCACAGCAAGGGCCCTGCTGGACAGAGATGCCCTCAAGCAGAGTCTAGTGATGGCTGTGCAGGACCAGGGCCAGCCCCCTCTCTCTGCCACAGTCACACTCACCATAGAGTGGCTGACAGCATCCCGGAGGTCCTGGCGGACCTGGGCACCATCAGGACCCCCACTGATCCCTAGGATTCAGACCTCACACTGTACCTGGTGGTGGCAGTGGCTGTGGTCTCCTGTGTCTTCCTGGCCTTTGTCATCATACTGCTGGCGCTCAGGCTGTGGTGCTGGAATACAAATCGCCTGCTTCAGGCTGCAAGTAGTGGGTTGACAGGGATGCCCACTTCACACTTTGTGGGCGTGGACGGGGTACACGCTTTCCTGCAGACCTATTCCCATGAGGTCTCGCTCACTGCAGACTCAAGAAAGAGTCACCTGATCTTTCCCCAGCCTAACTATGCTGACACGCTCATCAGCCAGGAGAGCTGTGAGAAAAGCGAGCCTTTTCTTATAGCTCGGGATTTACCTGACACAAAAGGAGACCCCAAGCTGTTTGAGGTGAGTTTTTTGTTTTCTTTGATTATTATGAACAATTATGCCAGTGTCGTTATTCTGGAAGCTTAACACACGTCTATTTAAGAAATAAGGCAACGAGGTAGTCACTTGTTCTGTTGTCTATATATGTGTCCCTTTCTCCTTCTAGGTCAATGGCAGGACTGGTTTTGGCTGAGTGTGCCTAGGTAATTAGTTCTGGTCAATCTGTATGAGCGGCAGTAATGTACCACTTCCTGGAGGAAGTTCTAATTGCCATTCTGAAAATTCCAACTATCTAATTACCCTTTGAAATGTGGCTGCTATTTCTACCTGCATCTTTGAATATAACCATGATTGGAGGAGCGCCCAACATTTGTCATCATACCTGTGACAAATAGGCCATTTAGAATTTATTTCATTTTATTTGTTGGTACTGGGGATGAACTTGGCATATACTAACCATGTGTTCTACCACTGAGCAATATCTCAGCCCTTACCTATTACATTTTAAATCCCTGTGCTTTGAACTTTGTCACCCCTACCTACCTAACCTATCCTGACTGATTTTTTAAAAAATAAAAAAATGAGTAAATATAAAGTGTTTTGTGCCTCCACAAAATTATATTTGACTCTTTCCAAGCAAGACCACACTCTTTTCTTCTCAAGGACACAAAAATTGCAGAATAAAAAATGTGGGAGCTAGGCATGGTGGCATGCTTGGAGTCCTAGCTCCTTGGGAGGCTGAGGAAGTAGGAATACTTGAGTGCAGAAGTTTCAAACCAGCCTTGGCAACATGGTGAGACCCATCTAAAAGAATGCAGAAATTAATTAAATGATTTAGCCTTTAGTGTCTAAAGTGTGTGTGTGTTTATATTGATTTCAGCCTTTTGCCTGAAGGTGAACAGTCCATTTTCCTAAACTGGTATGATACTTGGAGTGGTATTTACCGTCCTTTGAGATGGATTAAAAAAAAGCCAAAAGGTATGTCTAAGTCCCAGCAAAAGATTTCCAGAATGTCCATTTCAACAATGAGATAAGAGTCTTGATCATGACCACAATTTTCTTGGGCTGTAAATTGTTGGCCCATTCTGAAATTTATGAAATTATTCTTCTTCATGTAGCTATAAAAAAGGGCCATCCAAAATATATTTCATTCACTGAGTACAATAATAATATGGTAATAAAATTTTAAATATATATATATTTCATTCAATTTCAAAGGGACATATATTTCCCATAATATGTTAATATGTGTTATGTTCCCATAATACATTCAATGTGTGAGCCAACAGAGCCTGAAGAAAATACCCATGAGCAGATAAAAGTGTATTCTCACTCAAACTTTCAAGTGTATCACAGAATTTAAAAGGCACATGCATTTGGATTATCTTTTTTGGAGGAACTCTTTATAGTATTAGTATCACTTTCCAGGTAAGGAGAAAAATACTTAATGGGCAGTGCCAGGGGCAATGTGTATGTTCAAAGATAGTTTTCTAAGGGCTGGAGATGTATCTGAGTGATAAGAGTGTTTGCCTAGCATGTCCAAGGTCCTGAGTTCAAATCCTATCATTACAAGAAAACAACAAAACTTTCAAAGAGAATTTTCTATGAATTCCATACAGCCTATATATGTGTTGTGAAAATACCCTGAGAATGCAAAGGTAGTACAATTTGCATCTACTTATACACATAATGAAAAGTCTTACTGTTTTCACTAAACAGGGATGTTTCTCTGAAATATGGGCAAGAATTCATTACAAAACAAAGAGAGGACAAATGCATAATAAAATAAACAAAAAATATAAAGGTATGAATTAGAGAAAACAACAGAAAAGTATCTTAATATTCTATTTTGACTGGAGTATGAGTATGAATAAACCCTGCAAAATAGAATAAACTGTTGAGTTGCCATCTGTCTTAGTCTTTTTTGCTGCTATAATATAATACCTGAGAGTGTAAAATTTATAAAGAATAAGTGTTTATTTAGATGATTGTTCCAGGGACTGGGAAGTCCACATGCCTGGTATCATCATCTACTCAGCATCTGGTGAGGGTCTTCTTGCAGGGTCATCACATGCCAAGGGCATCTTGTGGCAAAACTGAGCAAGTAGGTCAGAGACAGCTGCATTGATCCTTCATGGATGAATTTATTTGGGGAGGCAGAGCCCTCTTGATTCCATCACCTCCCAAAGGTCCTGCCTCCAAATACAATTAACATGAATTTAGGGATTAAGTTTCCAACACATGAAATTTGGGGACATATTCAAAGCATAGCAGCATCTAATTTGGTAGTATGTTTGAAATAAATGGATCTTCTGTCTGAGTTACCTAAGACCAGGATCAAATCTAAAAAGGAGTATCCAAGCACTCTCAATGTCTCTCCAAGATTTCCTGGCGATCAAGTAATTAATGGTATTAAACTGGCTGACATTGAGAACTGTGATTACAGAGTATTGCATATGGATTCATATAAAAAGTAAACACTGTTTTCATAAAAATGAATATAGTTATACAAGATGCGGCATTATAAAAAGCACATTTGTACCCAAATACTAATTTGGTCCCTTCAATAAGCTATCAGGCTCTGCTCTACTTACCTGGGAATATTATGTTTTATAAAGAAAAGGAATATATTAAAATAATTCTAAGGCTAAGGCCGTGGCACCTTCTTCTTCTTCTTCTTCTCCTCCTCCTCCTCCTCCAACTCCTCCTCCTCCTCCTCCTCCTCTTCCTCCTCCTCCTTCTTCTTCCTCTTCTTCTTCTTTTTGCAAAGACTGTGTCTTTAAGAGCATTACTGAATTGAAAAAGTATATATGGAGAAATCATGATACTAAATAAGAGAAGTTAATCCAATGAATCTGCAAAAAAGGTAAGGCTAATAGTCCACTAAAAATTCATTCACTTAGTTGGGCACATCAGTCATGCCTGAGTTTATAAATATCATAGAAAAATCATTAAAGATGTTTTGCCCTTAAAACTGAAAAGTATGCCTTGTAAAATTAAACGAAGAAAACACATAATGATGAAGACATTTATGAAATGATTTCAAACAAGGAAATATCAACTTTAAAGGAAAAATGTGAACACTTGGTTCTTTCAAACAAATCGAAGCGCAAGGTATGTAGAAACAGTTTGCACTTTGAGGATAACTGCAATATGCAATTTTGCAAGACAACCTCAGGGCGCCGCTGTTGACCAAAGAGAAGAGAAAGGTTCTCAGTTCTGCAGGAGAGTACAGCCTGTGCTTTCCTGCTTTTTCCGGCACAAATCTGAACGCAGTCCCTGCTGCGGTACACCCTCAAAGCACCTAACAAACAAGTCCTACCCTCAAATCGCAAAAGTCCCAGAGAAATCTTGAAAAGAAGCTTCCTAGAGAGTTCTGGAAATGCAGAGGAGCACCAGAGGAGCAGAAACGATGAAAATTCAGGTACTGTTTCTCTTCCTGCTGTCTTTGTTCTGTAAGGCCATCTCCCAGCCCATCCTCTACTCTATTCGGGAGGAGCTGGCCAAAGACTCTCTGGTGGGGAACCTCGCCAAAGATCTAGGGCTCAGTGTGCAGGAGCTGTCAGCTCGAAAACTGCGAGTTAGTGCAGAGGATTATTTCAGCGTTAGTGCAGAGAGTGGGGATTTGTTGGTTAGCGGCAGGATAGATAGAGAGAAGATTTGCGGGAGGAAATCTGAGTGTTCACTGGAATTTGAATCGGTCACTGAAAACCCAATGAATATTTTCCATGTGATTGTTGCAATCCAAGATATTAACGACAATGCACCACAATTCCCTGCAAAGGGCATTGAATTGGAAATCTGTGAGTCAGCCTTACCAGGGGTAAAATTCCCTCTGGATTCTGCACAAGATGAAGATGTAGAAGGTAACTCACTGAAGATATACGCCATCAGCCCTAATCAACACTTCTCTCTGTCAACAAAAGAAAGTCCTGATGGAAGTAAATATCCAGAATTATTACTGGAAAAACCTCTAGACAGGGAACATCAGACATCCCATCGCTTAATCCTGGCCGCCATTGATGGCGGAGACCCACCTCTAAGCAGCACCACCCAAATCCGGATCAAAGTCACTGATGCCAATGATAATGCTCCAGTGTTCAGTCAGGACATATACAAAGTCAGCCTCCAAGAAAACATACCGTGGGGAACCTCCGTGCTGCAGGTGATGGCTACAGATCAGGATGAGGGAGTTAACGCAGAGATCACCTATGCCTTTCTCAATATTCCAGCAAGTACTAACCTCATCTTCAGTCTAAACCCAACAACTGGTGAGATCACAACCAATGGTACTTTGGATTTTGAAGAAAGAAGTAGATACTTGCTGGGCGTAGAAGCCAAGGATGGAGGGGTGCATACAGCTCACTGCAATGTTCAGATTGAAATCGTTGATGAAAATGACAATGCCCCAGAGGTGACACTCATGTCCTTTTCTAATCAGATTCCAGAGGACTCAGATCTTGGAACTGTAATAGCCCTCATTAAAATAGCAGACAAGGATTCTGGGCAAAATGGTCTGGTGACATGCTATATTCAGGAGGAAGTTCCCTTCAAACTAGAGTCCACCACCAAGAATTATTACAAGCTCGTGATTGACAGGTCCCTAAACCGAGAATATATATCAGAGTACAACATCACCATAACAGCCACCGACAGGGGCAAGCCATCCCTTTCTTCCAGGACTTCCATCACTCTGCACATCACTGACGTCAACGACAATGCACCGGTTTTCCATCAGAGCTCTTACGTGGTCCACCTGGCTGAGAACAACCCACCAGGCGCTTCTATTGCGCAGGTCAGTGCTTCGGACCCTGACTTCGGACCCAACGGCCAAGTTTCCTACTCTATATTGGCCAGTGATCTGGAGCCAAGCGCACTGTTCTCCTACGTGTCCGTGAGCGCGCACAGCGGGGTGGTGTTCGCGCAGCGCGCCTTCGACCACGAGCAGCTTCGCTCTTTCCAGCTGACGCTGCAGGCCCGCGACCAGGGCTCACCCGCGCTCAGCGCCAACGTGAGCCTGCGCGTGATGGTGGACGATCGCAATGACAACGCGCCAAAGGTGCTGTACCCCTCACTGGAGCCTGACGGTTCCGCGCTCTTCGATATGGTGCCGCGCACCGCAGAGCCAGGCTACTTTGTCACCAAAGTGGTGGCGGTAGACGCTGACTCAGGTCACAATGCCTGGTTATCTTACCACGTGCTGCAGGCCAGTGATCCTGGACTGTTTAGCCTGGGACTCCGTACTGGTGAGGTGCGCACAGTTCGAGCCTTGGGAGACAGGGAAGCAGCTCGCCAGCGCCTGGTGGTCGCTGTGCGCGACGGTGGACAACCGCCCCTCTCCGCTACAGCCACGCTGCACCTGATCTTCGCAGATAGCCTGCAAGAGGTCCTCCCAGACCTCAGCGATGACCCTTTACCCTCTGACCCTCAGACCGAGTTGCAGTTTTACCTGGTTGTGGCCTTGGCCTTGGTTTCTGTACTCTTCCTTCTGGCGGTGATCTTGGCCATCGCCTTGCGCCTTCGACACTCTCCTAGCCCAGCTGCCTGGGGCTGCTTTCAACCTCGTCTCAGTTCTAAGTCTGCACCTGGGGTTCTCCCCAATTACAACGAGGGAACACTGCCTTATTCCTACAATGTGTGCGTTGCCTCACAATCGGCTAAGACAGAGTTTAATTTTCTCAACGTGTCAGCGGAAGTGGCTCCCATTCAGGATCTCCTGTGTGATGATCCGTCTATGGTTGTATGTGCCAGTAATGAAGATCTTAAATTCTCTTATGGCCCTTCTGATTCCTCTCACGTAAGTTTTTGCAAGCCTATTTAAATTCTATGTTTCTAAATCATGAATGATTAAGTTTGGTCATTTTTGTGGTTCTAGTGGAGGTATCTAGTGGGGTGTATTGGATGAGTGGAGATTTATTACTTGATTGTTCAGTCATCTTCGAAATTACTTGATCGCTGATTTTCAGCATTTTCTGTTGCCATTATGTGTGATTGGCAAATCTTACTAGAGAGCCGTTTCTTGGATATCAACACCCTTGGTAATAATAGTGCCCTTTCTTAGTTGATGTGTGAGACTATTTTTTCAAGTAATCTTGTGCTTACTCTTTATAAAGGTATTACCAGTTCTTTCTGCACAAGCTAAAGTTTACCTTCATCTTCAATTATATTTCTAGTAAGAACAACTTTTTGCTGCAACATATTGTGTCATATCACAATAGCAAAGATTGTCACATTTTAATTTGAATCACTAACTTTGGGTCAATATTGCTCCCACTTACAATTTCACTGAAGGTCATTCTATAAATTTCTTAACCATTCTTTAATCATTTGTTTTTATTCATTTTCTGCCTTGTTACTACTATAATAAGGAATGTATTGAATATTTTAATATATATAAAACAATTTCCATACTTCTTACTGCTTTTTTGGCTTTCAGTGTTATTGGAGTTTGAACTCAGGTTTGCTAAGCAGGTGCTACATTGCTTGCTAAGCAGGTGCTATATGGCTTGAGCCAGCCTCCTGCCCCTTATTACTCCTTTAGTATATGTTTCTGAGAAGTGAGTCAGATCTATAAACATTTTGAGGGTTTTATACATATTGTCAATTTTATTTCCAAAACACCTCATTTTAATCTCTAAACTCCCAGTAACTAGTGAATCTTTTAAGGATTGTGAAAAGCACCTTAAAAATCTACTCTCTCAAAGTCCAAATATATAAAATTCTGCACAGTAAAGAGACTTTTACATATCCTTAAAATTTGAGTCATTTCTACATATCCTTAAAATTTGAGTCATTTCTCACTGATTTATTCAAGAATTTATTCAAGAATGCTATGAAACATGCAATGATAATGCATATACAACTATTCAAATATTTCCTTTTACTTGTTATTTCTAAAATCAAAGCCAAAATAAACTTAGAATAATGGTAAAATAATACTTTTGGTAATGGTAAAATAAACCAACTGGATGTGTCTTATATGAAAAAAGTCACTGAAATATTACCTGCTGTTTATAGTGCCTCAACATAACTTTTTCTGTCTTCTTAATGGTGGTGTTTATTTTTAATACTAGAGTTATTTACTCATTGTTTAAGGCTTTGCATTTGCATTGGTAACTCATCCATTCAATGTTGGATATGTTTTTGTTGAGTATGTGCTCTATGAAAGGTGCTTCTCTAAAGATTGAGGTCACGCTGTGAACAAGAAAATCATAGGTGTACCTTGGGGCCTACAATCTCCTGCATACAAATTAATGAGCAAATTATATTCCAAAACCTACCAAGCCCGTTTGCACAGGGGTAAAACTATCTCTTGAGCAGCATGTGTTTTCTTTGCAAAGGAATTAAAAACTTGTCCCAGGATCTAATCAACTCAGGTAAGGAAACTTGTGTCTGGCATAGGTTAGAACTAGAGCGAGCCTCCAAACTCCAGGGCCACTATGTGTCCACCCATCTCTTTCTTCCACTTTTCAAGTTCACCCTTGTTCCTAGGAAGAATGAATGTGTCTCTCACACAATAGAGTATACTGAAAATGGGCAGTAGGAATGAACAACGCAAAAACAGAAAACATCCTTTGCCAAAAATCACCATTTTATTTATCTGAGAAGACAACTTAGTTTATAATACAGGAAACTTTGGATCACTACTGGATTTTCATTGCAAGTTAAAAACACGGGAATTTGACTTTTATTCTGTTTGGGAGAGATAGGATTAGGAATGGAAACAGTATATAGCATACTTCATTTATCAAGAATAAATTGCAATAACAGTTTAGGACTCTGAGTGTCGCTGTTCACCACTCGGGGGAAAAGGCAACCCGAAATTTCATCCGAACAAGATTTCCGCAGCATAAAGCACGGATTCTGGGGCTTTAGGAAGCTTCAATCTGGGCCCCCGGAGAACTCCAGTACCCAACCGTGAAAACACCTTATCTTGGAACCCAAAGATCGTGGGGCTCCTCAGACCTCCAGAGACAACGCCCAAGCTCAGACTATTCGGCAGCGGGGCTGTAATGGCGGCTCCTCCTTTTCCTCCGGACTGCAGCCGGTTAGTTTTGATCTGCATTCTCCTGGGGGCCCTGTGGGACATCCGGGCGGAACAGATCCGCTACTCGGTACCAGAGGAGTTGGAAAAAGGCTCCTTCGTGGGGAACATCTCCAAGGACCTGGGGTTGGAGCCCCGGGAGCTGGCGGAGCGCGGAGTCCGCATCGTCTCCAGAGGTAGGACGCAGCTTTTCTCTCTCAGCCCCCGAGGCGGCAGCTTGGTCACCGCGGGCAGGATCGACCGGGAGGAGCTCTGTGACAGATCCCCAAAGTGTGTAGCAAACCTGGAGATTCTCCTAGAAGACAAAGTAAAGATTTTTGGAATAGAAGTAGAAATAACCGATGTTAATGATAACCCGCCCACCTTTGGATCAGAGCAGAAGGAAATAAAAGTTGTCGAAAATCAAATTCCTGGGACAAGATTTCCTCTCCCTGAAGCTTTTGATCCGGATTTAGGGATAAATTCCCTGCAGGGTTACCAACTCAGCTCAAATGCTTACTTCTCCCTGAATATGCAAAGCGGGGAAGATGGAATTAAGTACCCGGAACTGGTGCTGGAGCGCGCCCTAGATCGCGAGGAAGAGGCGGTTCACCACCTGGTTCTCACCGCCTTCGACGGAGGCGATCCAGTTCTCTCTGGAACTGCCAGGATTCACATAACACTGATGGACAGCAATGATAATGCTCCTGTCTTCACTCAGCCAGAGTACCGCGTAAATGTCCGGGAGAATTTGCCTGTAGGCACTCAGCTACTCACCATAAAAGCCACCGATCCAGATGAAGGAGCCAACGGAGAAGTGACATATTCTTTCCGGAAAGTAAGAGACAAAATATCCCAGCTATTCCAGTTGAATTCTCTGAGTGGAGACATAACAATATTGGGGGATCTGGATTACGAGGACTCTGGATTCTATGATATAGATGTAGAAGCCCATGATGGACCTGGTCTGCGAGCCAGAAGTAAGGTTCTGGTGACAGTTCTGGATGTAAATGACAATGCTCCAGAACTCACAGTTACTTCTCTCACCAGCTCAATCCAAGAGACTTCTGCCCCAGGTACAGTAATTGCACTTTTCAACGTGCATGATAGTGACTCTGGAGAGAATGGCCTTGTCACTTGTTCTATTCCTGATAACCTGCCATTCAGGCTTGAAAAGACCTACGGAAATTATTATCGATTATTGATACATAAAACTCTGGACAGGGAAGAAGTCTCAGAATATAATATTACAGTAACTGCCACTGACCAGGGAACTCCACCACTGTCTACAGAGATCCATATCTCACTGCAAGTGAAGGACATCAATGACAACCCACCCACCTTCACTCATGCCTCCTATTCTGCCTACATTCCAGAAAACAACCCCAGAGGAGCTTCCATCTTGTCCATGACCGCCCAGGACCCTGACAGTGGTGACAATGCCCAAGTAACCTACTCTCTGACAGAAGACACAATCCAAGGGGCACCTCTATCCTCCTATGTCTCAATCAACTCAAACACTGGTGTCCTATATGCACTGCGCTCCTTTGATTATGAGCAGTTCCAAGACTTGCAGCTACTAGTGACAGCCAGGGACAGCGGGAATCCTCCACTCAGCAGCAATGTGTCACTTAGCCTGTTTGTGCTGGACCAGAATGACAACACACCTGAGATCTTGTACCCTACCTTCCCTACTGATGGTTCTACTGGTGTGGAGCTGACACCCCGGTCGGCAGAGCCAGGATACCTGGTGACCAAGGTGGTGGCAGTGGACAAGGACTCAGGACAGAATGCCTGGCTGTCCTACCACCTTCTCAAGGCCAGCGAGCCAGGACTCTTCTCCGTGGGGCTGCACACAGGTGAGGTGCGCACAGCAAGGGCCCTGCTGGACAGAGATGCTCTCAAGCAGAGTCTCGTGTTGGCTGTGCAGGACCATGGCCAGCCTCCTCTCTCGTCCACTGTCACACTCACCATTGCTGTGGCAGACAATATCCCAGATATCCTGGCAGACCTGGACAGCATCAATACTCCCAGAGACCAAGACAATTCAGACCTCACACTGTACCTGGTGGTGGCAGTGGCTGTGGTCTCCTGTGTCTTCCTGGCCTTTGTCATCGTGCTGCTGGCGCTCAGGCTGAGGCGCTGGCATACAAATCGCCTGCTTCAGGCTACAAGTAGTGGGTTGACGGGGATGCCCACTTCACACTTTGTGGGCGTGGATGGGGTACACGCTTTCCTGCAGACCTATTCCCATGAGGTCTCGCTCACTGCAGACTCACGGAAGAGCCACCTGATCTTCCCCCAGCCTAACTATGCTGACACGCTCATCAGCCAGGAAAGCTGTGAGAAAAGCGAGCCTCTTCTCATAGCTCAGGACTTATCTGAAACAAAAGGAGACCCCAGTCTTCTTCAGGTGAGTCAAACTTATAATAGCTCTTACCATCATGAAACAAAGGGCTCTGTAACTGCCCCTAATTGTATAAAATATGTAAATATCAAATAAAAGCTCCTCTTTATTAACATTCTGAAGCTTTAAAAGGGAGGAACAATAGTGATTCACTACACAAAAAGTTATTTGTTTATAACTAACTTTTTTTCTTTTTGTGATGGTAGGGATTAAACACAGTGTATTAGGCATGCTAGGCAAGCACTCTATCACTGAGCTACACCCACCACCCTATTTGTTCATAACTTATCCTTTGTAGTCTTAGTTGAGTTGTGGTTTCAGAAGGAGTTTCTCCATTTTGTACCTTTAACCCACTCACTTTGGGGGTACTGAACTTGAACTCAGGGCCTCACACTTGCTAAGTAGGCACTCTGCCACTTGGGCCACTCCACCAGCTTTGTTTTGTTTGGATATTTTCAAGATAGGGTCTCACAAACTATTTTCCCAGGCTGGCTTTGAACTTAGATCTTTCTGAGTAGCTAGGATTAGTGTGAACCATGGCCCCCAGCTTCTTAACCACTCACTTTTTAAAAATGTCATTTTCCTATGTGTGTTACTGAAAGGATAGATTAGATCTGTGAAATAGAAGGCATTGTGTAAATTCATATTTAGAGCGTTCTTTCCCATGATGCTAATGTTCAATCTGGGCTTAGTTTATTTAAATTTCCTCTTCTTTCACTACATAATTTGCTTGAAGTTTACTTTTCTTTCCTTGAGAGAGTATTTTCCATCATAATAAGACAATGACAATTTATGGATAGTGAGGAAAATATCTAACTTTTAGGTACACCTTTAAAGGGGATATTTTCTCAATGGACTAGTATATTTTAAACATTTTTTGAGGCAGAGTCTCACTATGTAACCCAGGCTAGCCTGGAATTTACCATCCTCCTCTCCCTCAACCTCTTGAGTGCTGGGATTACCATCATATACCACAACAGCTGGCTCAAATATTTTGTTTCTGCTGGTTTGAGATATACCAACAATGACTTTGTGTAATTCCTTTGGTGTACATATGTGATTATCAAAAATACTGCCCATTTGATTTCACTCATATTTAAGTAGATCGTAGTAGCAATGTTAATAATTTCTATACTGCCTCTCATGACATCACTATTAAATCCCACCTTGCTACCTAAGGAAAACAAAACTTTTTGAAATCTTTCTGTTTTTCATCAACTAAGCATTTTGCAAAAGTTGGGTAATTTGGATTCTTGACTGGTACAATTCGTGGTACTTAGTAAATTGGCCTCATCCCTATTGGTATTCCTGAAAATTGTTCTTAGATAGCTTTATCACTTTGTGGTCCTCAGATAATCTAATATGGGATGAAATATTTCGTGTGTAAGAGACATGCTACATTTTTATTCCTAGTGCCTTCATATAGTTCTGAGTTAATTCAGAATTCATGAATGCCTATGGACTACACAAATTGGTGTTTTTGTTAAGAGGAAGTTGTGCTAAGATAGTAAAATGTACTTCAGTTCAATTTAAGAAGAACTGTAGTTTCTACATGGTTTGGGATTCACAGGAATGAGACATGAAATTAGTTCGCTTCAAGAGAAGGAAAGAGAAACTAACAAGTGAATATTGAGACAGCTCATGTCTCAGTCCAGATTACTTTCAATAATAATGTGATGAAGTATAATTTAGAAATGTTCATATGGCCTAAAATTGGGTCAAACACATTCAGATGTTGGCATCAAGACTATATTCCAGTATCAGAGTGGTATGTGTCCTAATTCCTAGGAGAGCAGTAGACAATGTATAACCTATTACCAATGTGGAAAAAATATATATTTTGAATGGGCCCTGGATTTCTTCTAGAAAATAATATTTTTATTATAAAAATTTATCTGTGTCCATATGATGGACTACTGCATAGCTATAAGAAATAAATGAGAAACCTTTTAATGTATTGACATGAAATGATCTTCAAGATATAATGAGTAAGTCCCCAGCACCGAAAAAGGGGTGCGTGTGTGTGTTGAATAAAAACACACAGAAAAAGGGGTGTGTGTGTGTGTGTGTGTGTGTTGAATAAAAAAGCAAGGTGCAGAAGATGGTATGTTATATGCTTACATTTGAGTAAAAGGGATGTAACATTTATAAAAAATCTGCTGTTCTATACAAAACATTTCTGGAAGAATACACATGACAGCACTCGTTTCTCTTGGGATAAATATGCTACACAATACGGAAATGAGAATAAGAACCTACGCCTTCTGTCCGTTTTTAATTTGGCACACTAGCAACATACTACCTATTTAAAAACAAATGCTCCATACATTTAAAAAAGAAAACATAAAACGTTTGAAGCCATTGGTGCAGTTTCCGAGAAAACCTCTGGGTGTCGCTGTAGGTCAAAAGAAAAGAGGCCTTATCCCAGAAGGATATGGGAGACTCAGAGGGTAACTTCCTGCTCAGACCAACCACACAAAAGAGACCGGTACAAATTCACATACAGAAAACAAAAGAAGGAAAAGGAACCTACTTGGGATCCAGCCATCCACGGAGGGTTTAGTCCTCCTACCCGCAAAGGAGCCGCGCAGCGGCGGAAGGAGACAGAGGATGCGGCTGCGTGCGGCGCGACGCAGCTGGGCATTCTGGCTGCAGGTACTGTTGCCTTTCCTGCTGTCTTTGTTCTGCCGGGCTCTCCCGGACCAGATCCGCTACTCCATTCCCGAGGAGCTGGCCAGGAACTCAGTGGTAGGAAACCTCGCCAAGGATCTGGGGCTCGGTATCCAGGACTTGCCGATCCGGAAGCTGCGGGTTAGCGCAGAGAAGGAATATTTCACTGTAAACCCAGAGAGCGGGGATTTACTTGTGGGTGACAGAATAGACCGAGAGCAGATTTGTGGGAAGCAGCCTGTGTGTGTTCTGGATTTTGATACTATCGCTGAAAACCCATTAAATATCTTCCACGTAGCAGTGATTGTTCAGGATATAAATGACAACACTCCAGTATTCAAACAGAGTAAGAGTGATTTAAAAATTGGAGAATCTACCAAGCCAGGTAAAGCATTTCCACTGGATCCAGCCATAGATTCAGATGCTGGTCCTAATTCGTTGCAAAGATACCACCTTAATGACAATGAGTACTTTGGTGTCGCAGAGAAACAGACCCCAGATGGACATAAATATCCTGAGTTGATTCTGAAACATTCTCTGGACAGAGAAGAGCATAGTTTCCACCAACTGGTCCTCACAGCAGTGGATGGGGGGGACCCACCTCAAAGTGGCACCACCCAGATCCGAATCCAAGTCACTGATGCCAATGATAACCCTCCAGTATTCAGCCAGGATGTTTACAGGGTCACCCTACGGGAGAATGTGCCCCTAGGCTTCTCTGTGTTTCAAGTGATAGCCACCGACCAGGATGAAGGCGTCAACGCAGAGATCACCTACTCTTTTCATAATGTGGATGAAAAAGTGGAACGTTTTTTCAACTTAGATAAAATAACAGGAGAAATCACGACAAAGAGTAATTTGGATTTCGAAATTGCTAATAGTTACTCTCTGCGTGTAGAAGCAAAAGATCCTGGAGATTTAGCATCCCACTGCAGTGTCCAAGTCGACATTCTCGATGAGAATGATTGCGCACCCGAAGTGATTGTGACTTCAGTATTTACTCCCCTACCAGAAGATTCACCACCAGGAACAGTAATCGCCTTGATAAAAACCAGAGACAGAGACTCTGGAGAAAACGGGGAAATTTACTGCCACGTTTTGGGAAATACAGAGTTTGTGCTGAAATCGTCCTCAAAGAACTATTACAAGCTAGTGACAGATAAGGCTCTAGATCGGGAGGAGATCCCGGAATACAATCTCACCATCACAGCCACCGACAGGGGCAAGCCGCCTCTCTCCTCTACAATAAGCATCACCTTGCACATATCAGACGTTAATGATAACGCCCCAGTTTTCCACCAGACCTTCTACATGGTCCATGTGGCTGAGAACAACCCACCTGGGGCCTCCATCGCTCAAGTTAGTGCCTCTGACCTTGACTTGGGCCCAAATGGCCAAGTCTCCTACTCCATCATAGCCAGTGACCTGGAGCCAAGGGCGCTGTCATCCTACGTGTCCGTGGGCGCGCACAGCGGGGTGGTGTTCGCGCAGCGCGCCTTCGACCACGAGCAGCTTCGCTCTTTCCAGCTGACACTGCAGGCCCGCGACCAGGGCTCACCCGCGCTCAGCGCCAACGTGAGCCTGCGTGTGCTGGTGGACGACTACAATGACAATGCGCCAAGGGTCCTGTACCCCTCGCTGGAGCCTGATGGCTCAGCGCTCTTCGATATGGTGCCGCGCACCGCAGAGCCAGGCTACCTGGTCACCAAAGTGGTGGCGGTGGATGCCGATTCAGGACATAATGCCTGGCTATCCTACCATGTGCTTCAGGCCAGCGATTCTGGGCTTTTCAGCCTGGGTCTGCGCAATGGTGAGTTGCGCACAGCTCGAGCGTTAGGTGACAGATATGCAACTCGCCAGCGCTTGGTGGTCGCTGTGCGCGACGGTGGACAACCGCCCCTCTCCGCTACAGCCACGCTGCACCTGATCTTCGCAGATAGCCTGCAAGAGGTCCTCCCAGACCTCAGCGATGACCCTTTACCCTCTGACCCTCAGACCGAGTTGCAGTTTTACCTGGTTGTGGCCTTGGCCTTGGTTTCTGTACTCTTCCTTCTGGCGGTGATCTTGGCCATCGCCTTGCGCCTTCGACACTCTCCTAGCCCAGCTGCCTGGGGCTGCTTTCAACCTGGTCTCAGTTCTAAGTCTGCACCTGGGGTTCTCCCCAATTACAACGAGGGAACATTGCCTTATTCCTACAATGTGTGCGTTGCCTCACAATCGGCTAAGACAGAGTTTAATTTTCTCAACGTGTCACCGGAAGTGGCTTGTCCCCAGGACCTCGTCTGTGAAGATGCTTCTTGGGCACCAACCACAACTCTTGGAGACACTAGTGTCCTCTTTGCCTCCAATACTATTTTAAAGGTGAGCTTTAATTTTTTTTCCCACTTGAAATCTCAGCGTTTCTTAACTAACCACGTAAAGTGTGGTAGAAGGCTTCATTGCATATGTCCTTGTCTTTTGACTCAGATTTGAACAATGTGCTGCCTTAAGTATCTTAACCTTATCCAACAAATCAAATATTGATTTTCTCCCTGAAGTGTAAGATTGATTTGTCCATTATTGCAAGTGTTATTGTACAAAATACTTCTTTTTCTTCCTTGTCTTTACATTCCTTCCCTCTGAAGGTTTGTCTCTTTGGGGACTTTAAGGGAGTCCTTTCACCTTCAGCATCTTTTTACTCAAATTTTAGTTTCCTTCCTCTTAGACGAATAGTGCTTCAGAGTAAAGAGTCCTCATCTTATTAGTTTGTGGAAATTGGTGGGGAAAGAATCATTTTGCCCAGTGTCATGGCTTGTTAATGACAGGACATAGGTGGGTATAGCTCCACTGACTTGAAGGTCAACATGTTAAATATCTCAACAAGCTGAGAGTCTTAGAATCCCAGATCCTTTTTTTTAAAGGATGGGTTATATTTGAGGTCTGATGTGTATGCTCTGAAGAGTACATTTTAATAAGTGTGAGATATCATTCTGTCATGCATATTAATAAATTGCTTGAGAAAAATTGTACATAGAAGAAAAGATTTGCAACCTATACTTATGTCATTTTCTATCAAATATTAATTTAAATGTTTTGGTTTTGAGTTATAGATATAAAATATCTTCATTTAAAATTGTTTTACTATCAGGATGTTTTTAGGTAAAAATTGCTTTTCTCACAAAATGGACTCTGAAATGTCCATTTTTTTATTTATCTGCTTTCCTTGAAGATAATAGCATTAGAAATCTCTCTAAAAACAAACAGGCCACTTATCGTTGCTCACTAAGTATCTAAGCATGCTTTCATGCATGGGTGATAACCTAAAGATCTGTTCTCCACCCTCACTATGCTGATTGTCACCAAGGGCCTATCACTGTAAAATTTCTAACACTGTAAAATGTATTTGAATACAGTAATAAGCAAATATAAATAGCACAGAGTTAACCAAACCCAAAACTCAGTCTGAAATAGGGCAGCTGCTGTGTTCTTAGACTTTAAATCTGGAAAGTTTCTCAAAGACTTCACAAGTGAAGAAGACTTATTTTTTCTGATTATGATGGCTAATATTTGCAAAGATACATTGAAAGCTGGGTTTGTTTCCTTGGCACTGTTTTGTACAAATTGGGTATGTTTTTATAAATGTATAGCACATAAGAAATGAAGTCTTAAAGTCAACAAAGGTAGGAATTTCAATGTCCACAAAGTCAACGTGGGTTAGAAGTAAATGAAGAATATAGGCTCTTGGGCTGTTGGAGTGGCTCAAGTGATAGTCTACTGCCTACCTAGCACAAGATCCCAAGTTTAAGTCCCAAACTCAGTACCGCCAAAAAAAAAAAAAGAAAAGAAAAAATATATATAGGCTCAATGGCAAATAAAAGTTTTCTAAGTTAAAAGGAATATAATAATTCTATTAATCTCAAGTTTGTGGCAGTGTCTCACTATTTCAGAATTAAAGCTTAATTAGATATAAACGATGATACACAATACAACATTAAGGATATAGCAAAAATATTGGAAATAAAAATATAACTAAAGGGAAATTAAAAATAGAATTGGTGTAGTAACTGGTTAGGACTCTGAGCGTCGCTGTTCACCAAAGTGGGAAAGAAACTGTCGTGGACGCAACCGTATTCGGATTTCATACTGAGCACAGACTAGACAAGCTCCTGGGGAAAGCCACCTATTCCCTCTGCGCCAGAGAAGATGCTCCCCTTGGCTTTAGAGAAATAAGGAAACAGCAGGCTGAACCAGGACTAAGAAAATTGAAGAGAAGGCAATGGCGGATCTACTGAGGTGCTGGGGCTGCGGTGACCTGCTCCTGTTCTTCCTGCTCCTGGGGACGCTGTGGGAGACCGGCAAAGGGCAGATTCGCTATTCGGTGCGGGAGGAGCTGGACAAAGGCTCCTTCGTGGGGAACATCTCCAAGGACTTGGGGTTGGAGCCCCGGGAGCTGGCGGAGCGCGGAGTCCGCATCGTCTCCAGAGGTAGGACGCAGCTTTTCTCTCTCAACCCGCGAGGCGGCAGCTTGGTCACCGCGGGCAGGATCGACCGGGAGGAGCTCTGCGCTCAGAGTCCGCGGTGTCTGGTGAACTTTAATGTCTTGGTTGAGAATAAGATGAAAATTTATGGAGTAGAAGTGGAAATAATTGATATCAATGATAACTTCCCGCGATTCCGGGATGAGGAGTTAAAAGTAAAAGTCAATGAAAATGCGGCTGCGGGGACGCGGTTAGTGCTTCCCTTCGCGCGGGATGCGGATGTGGGCATGAACTCCCTCCAGAGTTACCAGCTCAGTTCCAATCTCCACTTCTCTCTGGACATAAAGAGCGGACCTGATGGACAAAAATACCCAGAACTGGTGCTGGAACAGCCCCTGGACCGTGAGAAAGAGGCTACTCACGATCTCCTCCTCATAGCGTTAGATGGCGGAGACCCAGTCCACTCTAGCACCGCGCATATCCGTGTGACAGTCCTCGACGCAAATGACAATGCGCCCCTGTTCAGTCGAAGCGAATATAGGGTGAGTGTTCCAGAGAACATACCTGTGGGCTCTCCGCTACTCACGCTAACCGCCACGGATGCTGACGAGGGAATAAATGGGAAACTGACCTATTCTTTTCGCAATGAAGAAGACAAAATTTCAGAGACTTTCCAACTTGATTCCAGCCTGGGGGAAATCTCAACTAAGCAATTACTGGACTATGAAGAAATCAGGTTCTACCTCATGGAAGTGGTAGCTCAGGATGGAGGCGCTCTTCTCGCCAGCGCCAAGGTGCTGATCACAGTACAGGATGTGAATGACAATGCTCCAGAAGTAATCCTCACTTCCCTCACCAGTTCTGTTTCTGAAGACTGTCTTCCTGGAACCATTATTGCACTCTTTAGCGTACATGATGGTGATTCTGGAGAGAATGGTGAGATTTCATGTTTTATTCCTAGGGACTTACCTTTCAAGTTGGAAAAGTCAGTTGATAATTATTATCACCTAGTAACAACCAGAGCCCTGGACAGAGAAGAGACTTCGGATTATGACATCACAGTAACTGTCACTGATAGTGGAACACCACCTTTATCTACAGAAAACCACATCTCCCTGAAAGTAGCAGACATCAATGACAACCCACCTGTCTTCTCTCATGCCTCCTACTCTACCTCAATCCTAGAAAACAATCCCAGAGGTGTCTCCATTTTCTGTGTGACTGCTCATGACACAGACAGCGGTGACAATGCTCTGGTCACTTACTCTCTGGCTGAATATACATTTCAGGAAGCTCTTCTGTCCTCCTATGTCTCCATTAACTCTGACACTGGTGTCCTGTATGCACTGCAATCATTTGACTATGAGCAGGTAAGAGATCTGCAGCTACTGGTGACAGCCAGGGACAGTGGGAACCCTCCACTTAGCACCAATGTGTCACTGAGCTTGTTTGTGCAGGATCAGAATGACAACATCCCTGAGATCCTATACCCAGCCCTTCCTACTGATGGTTCCACAGGTGTAGAACTGGCACCCCGCTCTGCAGAGCCTGGATACCTGGTGACCAAGGTAGTGGCAGTGGACAGAGACTCAGGACAGAATGCCTGGCTGTCCTACTGCCTACTGAAGGCCAGCGAGCCAGGGCTGTTCTCTGTGGGGCTGCACACAGGTGAGGTGCGCACAGCAAGAGCCCTACTGGACAGAGATACACTCAAGCAGAGCCTCGTGGTGGCTGTGCAGGACCACGGCCAACCCCCTCTGTCAGCTACCATCACACTCACAGTAGTTGTGGCAGACAGCATCCCTGATATCCTGGCTGACTTGAGCAGCATCAACACCCCCACTGGCCCCCAGGACTCAGACCTCACACTCTACCTAGTGGTAGCAGTGGCCGCTGTCTCCTGTGTCTTTTTGGCCTTTGTTATTGTGCTTCTAGCCCTCAGACTGAGGCGCTGGCACATGTCACGCTTGCTGCAGCCTTCAAGCAGATTGGCCAGTATGCCAGCCTCCCACTTTATGGGCATGGATGGAGTGCAGGCTTTCCTGCAGACCTATTCCCATGAGGTCCCCCTCACCACAGATTCCAGGAAGAGCCACCTGATCTTCCCCCAGCCCAACTATGCTGACAGACTCATCAGTGAAGGGAGTAGTGAAAAAAGTGAGCCTCTTCTGATATGTGATAAGATAAATGCAAACAAGGAAGAACCAGGAGTTGTTCAGGTTAGTTTTCTCTTTTAATAAGAATAATTCTAGCATTGTCTTCCGTCATTTTTCTGCTACAATCAAAATCAGATAATTACATAGTGAATCATTATTTGCTCAATTGGAGAGTAACTTTATTTTGTTCGATAGTTGATGCTAATTTGCCTTCAAATTAGTTGGGGGGCTTACTATCGTTTCTCAATCTGTGAATGTTTCAAAAAATAAAGTGGTAAACAATCATTTTACCACTTTCGTTAGTTTGAAACAGCTGTTCTGTTAATAGAAGAGTTGTTCTATTAGTTCAAATTACTAGATGTATTGTTCTCTGTTGAATATTTGCCTAGAGACACAATTGGTGAACCTGCTTTGTAAAGGATATTTGCAGGATTTATATTTTAGTATACCTGAAGTTAGCATAAAGATAGAATTTCTAGTATTTGCATAAATTGGTGGAAGAATACAGAAAGCTTTTGCACTATAAATATGAAAAATGTGGATTGAGAGTCTTTGCTCCCATTTCCTGCCTGGGGAACAGGAAATGTCTCTCCCCCCCGCCCCGCCCCCGACACTGTTGCTCTTACTCTGGAGATAACCTGCTTTCAGGTTCAAAGAGTAATCCTTTCCTAATAAGATTTACTATTACTTTTACTGAAAAAAAAAGAAATACGGATTGAGTTTATAATGATGATAATTTCCAGCATTCTAAAATCAGAAAGGTTTGGGTTAACCCATGTAATTACTGGTTATGTGTATTTGTTGAAAGAAGAAATCAATGAGAAGGAACTTTAGTACTTTGCTTTATTCTGTGATATAGGTTAAAGTCTCTGAAGAGTTAGATACTGCTAGTTTCAACAAATATAAATACGTCAAATAAGGCATCTACCAGTTACAGATGGTCTCTTCACTTATTGGAGTCAATATCTGCCCAAATGTTTGCATTTCTGTAAGTACAGGCACAATTATACTTTAGTACAAGAGTCTAAGATTTGTATTTGAAAAATCTATGCAACTTAAGAATGGCTTGGAGCCAGGCCCTAGTGGCTCATGTGTATAATCCTAGCAACTTGTGAGGCTGAGATCAGGAAGATCATGGTTTGAGGTCAGCCCTGGCAAATAGTTCAAGAGACCCCATCTCCAAAAAACCAGAGCAAAATAGATAGGAGGTGTGGCTCAAGCAGTATGGTGCCTCCTTTGCAAGTGTGAAGTCCTGAGTTCAAACTCCAGTCACACCAAAAGAAAAAAATGGCTTGAAGTTTTAAAATTAATTTCTGAGGTATGTTCTCATCTTAAATTAATAGATAGTTTCCTTAATGAAATGCTAGTCTATGAATCTCAAATTCCAGAAGCATGGGTTGCATAAGGGAATGGCTAATTGATTCATTTTCTACATCTGATTTGGTGAGGATGATTTTATTTGCTCCTTAGTAAAATACTTTTCAACCTTTAAAGTTTGTTCCTTTGACACTTTAAACATCAAATGAAAATTATGAATAAATAGGGGGAAATGGCTGTGGAACATTAATAGCAGGGTTGTAGGCTATGTTGCTCAACAACATTAAAAGTTTATTGACACATTTTGAAGCCTGGAACCACTTGATTTTTCTTTTTAAACATTTATTTAAAACACAACCAATTACATGTATAGATGGACAGCTCTGACCTTAATGTACAATTAGCACTGAGCAGCGAATGCATCCAAAGAATAACAAGAGAATCTGTATGATAGATGCTGACATCATTCACTTCTACTTGGAAACTCGAGTTTCCATTATTTTTTAGAGAAAACTTACAGATTTGAGTATGTATTCTGAGATAACTTTTTTGTGCAATGGAAAAACATCTTTTCAACTCTATACACTGCTAATAGATTATAAAATATTTTCCCCACACACTCTCAATAGATGTATTATATATACCACATACTCTTTGAACTATTTGAATCTTTAGTTTCATATGTGTTCTGAAGAGATAGCTTTTCTATTGAAATTAAAGTGTTCCTTCAATGGTGGAGGATACTTTTCTTTAGTATGTTTTGGACTCATCTTGGTTTTGCAATTTTTTTATGTTTGTATAAAATAAAGATGGCAGTGAATGGTTGTCTACAATCCTAGGCAGGACAATCAGTTTAAGATGCTATAATGCTTTTTCATTGTAAGGTGAGACCATGTTGCAGCACCTGCCAAGTTTTACAATAACAACATATCATATATATTAAAGAGACTTTCTTCATGAAGACTTTCTAGTTTGGAAATGATTCAAAGTGAAAGATGTCTGGCAGAAACAGAGATATTGGCACACTTATTAACCAAAACAAAATGTTTAGATGCTCATATGGTAGCTTGGGAACCATGCTACCAGAAAAAATTAAATATAAATGTCTTTCTTGCAATACATAGGTACAAGGACTCATACTTTTCTTCAAAATCCATATCACTCACCACTATTAAGCTACTTAAGAAGAAACAGTACACTTGAGGACAACTGTAATGTACTGTTGAAAATAGCATTTGTGATATAGTTTTTCAATCATACTATTTAATTTAAAATAGACACTTGGAAACTAAGGAAAAGAGTCTCTTGCTTCTTACTATACTGTTTTATAAGGATTATCAATCTTCTTGTTGACCTATCAGTTCTTTTCAGAGGAAGATGATAAAGACAGTATTTTCACACAGGCCTATAATCCCAGCACTAGGGAGGTTGAGGCAGGAGGATCAGGAGTTTGAGGCCAGCATGGGCTGTGTAGCAATACCCTGTCTCAAAAAAAAGATAATATTTTCAGAAACTGAAACATAGGATAAAACTAAGATCTATGAGATTTATAACTTTTATAAGTTAGGAGAAAAGAAAATAAAGTGAAATGATAAAACACATCAAACTGATATTTCAAGAACTTTTATACATCTTCTGCAATCATCAACACTTACTTTCATTGGTATGCCTTTCTATATGTTATTTTATTGGATCCTCACCTCTAAGATAATAGGGAAGTTGTTATTATAACCATTTTATGAAAACGGAAGCTAAAAGTATAACGATGCCAATAAAGTCTTTACTACTTTCTGAGCGGTAAAAAACACTTGATTTGACTTGGCACTCAAGATGGAAGAAATGACAGCCAGACTGAAGTAAAATAAATATTTAGTAAAAATTATTGCAAAAATGAAAGATGAAATATGTAGTAGGGTATTTTTTGCGGGGGAGGGGAAGTGGTAAAGGGGCGCTCTACCACTTGAGCTACGCCCCCAGCCCGAATGTGTGGTAGAATTTTCTTCTGATCTGCTGTTTATTTGGAGCTGTCGGCACTACTGCAGTTCCACATCCGAGGCGCTAGGTGCCGCTGTTGGCCAGTGCTGAGTGAAATATCAGCAACTCAAGAGGCTACTACCGAATGTCAGATGATTGCGGACTTGGGGGGTTCGGGGGAGTGCGCACTGCCTCCGCTGCTTGCCTGGGAGATCTTCATCAGAGAACACACCGCCAAGACAAAGCAAGTGGTCATTCCTGCTCAGAGAAGTCTTGGGATCGCTCTACTCAGAATCAAAAAGGAACGGAATGAGAAACCGCTTGGGAGTTAAGGGGCCTTGCACGGTTAAGGCGAATGTCATTTCTTTTCCCACGGTCTTCATTCTGCCTGGGGCTCTCAGAGCAGATTCACTCCCTCTTTCCGGAAGAGCTAGCCAGGAGTTCGCTGGAGGGGAACCTTGTCAAGGATCTGGGACTTGGCTTTTGGGATTCAGTGTTGTGGGTTAATGCAGAGAAAAAAAATTCTTCATGGCCAATACCGAGAATGGGGACTTACTTGTGAGCTATCTTATAGACCGAGAGCAGATTTGAGGCAAGAAGTCCACGTATGTTCTGGAATTCGAAATGGTTCCTGAAAGCCCTTAAACTTTTTCCATATAACTATACTGATTAAGGATATCATCCTCAACATGCCAACCTTTAGGAGAAATATCGCAGAACTCCAAACCAGCGAAGTGGCACTAACTGGACCCGCCTTTGCCCTGGAATCCGCGCAAAATAGATGTCGATTCATTACAGCAGTACTTCCTCCAACCGGGACGGCACTTCTCTTCCATTCAAAAGGAGAACCCAGCCAGGCATCCGTGGCTCACGCCTATAATCTTAGCTACTTGGAAGACTCAGATCGGGCGGCTTGTGGTTCAAGACCAGCCAGGACAAAGAGTTCCTGAGATTTCCGCCCCCCTCCAAAATAACCAGAGCAAAATGGACTAGAGGTGTGGCTCAAGCGTGAAGCTCTGACTTCAAACGAGAGAGAGAGAGAGAGAGAGAGAGAGAGAGAGAGAGAGAGATTGAGAGAGACCCAGATGCAGTAGTTACCCCGAGCTGGTACTGAAAACGCCTGTAGACAGGGAAGAGCAGTCCTGTTACTGCTAAAGACAGGGGCGTCTTTCCAGCTGCTGCACCATCTAGGGTAATTGTTGCAGATGCAAATAATAACCCTCCTCTCAGTATTCACCAGGACTTGTACAGGGTCATTGTCCCACTTCTCAGTGCTAAGAGTGATGGCCACTGACCTAGATGACACTGTCAATGCCAAGATCACCTACCCCTTCATCAGTACGGGTAAGGCAGTGAGACAGCTGTTCAAGCTGGACAGTAAAAGAGGGGCACTCACCACTGGTAGAAGATTGGACTTTGAAGAAACAGAGAGCTACACAATTGGGGTGGAAGAAAAAGATGGTGAAAGTCACACTGAGCACTGTAAAATGAAAATAGATATTTTAGATGAAAACAATGCCCCTAACATTACAGCGAATTCTGAATCCCAACATATACAAGATGTTGAACTGGGGGCTGCTATTGCTCTGTTCAAAACACGTAATCTAGATTCTCCAATTAAGGGCTAGTGGAGTGGCTCAAGCAGTAGAGCACCTGCCTAACAAGCATGAGACCCTGAGTTCAAACCCCAGTGTTGTGAAAAGATTAAATTTTTAAAAAAAGAAAAGAAAAGGTAGAGTCTTGCTTTAATGGAGAAATCCTGTGCCAACTAAAAGGAAAATTCCCATTTAAAATTACTCAGGCCAGATGCCAGAGGCTGAGATCCTGAAGATTGTGGTTTGAGGGCAGCCCAGGGAAACAGTTCGAGAAACCTCGTCTCCAAAATAATCGGATCAAAATGGACTGGGGGTGTGGCTCAAGCTGTAGGGCACCTGCTTTGTAAGAGTGAAGCCCTGAGTTTAAACCCCAGTCCTACCTCCCCCACCAAAAACATAGCTCAAGATATAAAACACATATATAGGTTGGTAACAAACTGAGCCCTGGACTGGGACAGATTCCAGAGTACAGCCACATTCATGGGTAATCCACCCCTGTCCTCTAGCACAAACTTCACCTTATACATCTCTGTTGTCAAAGACACCGCTCCTATTTTCCACCATGCCTCCCAGGTGGTCCATATATCTGTGAACAAATCACGTGGAGTTTCCATTGCTCAAGTCAGCGCCTTGTATCCTGACTTGGGACCTAACAGCCACGTATCCTATTTCGTCTTGGCAAACGACCTGGAGCCAAGGGCACTATCATCCTACGTGTCTGTGAGCGCACACAGTTGGTCTTGGACTACTAGCAGCTGTGCACCTTCTAGCTGAAGCTGCAGACCCGCTGCCAGGGCTCACCTGCGCCACGCTTAGCACCAAAATGAGTCTGCACTTGCTGGTGGTGGACCGCAATGACAAAGTGCCAAGGGTGCTGTACCCTTCGCTGTCACCTGATGATATGGTGCGGAGTGCCCTAAAACCCGGGTACATGGTCACCAAAGTGGTGGTGGTGATCACCTACTCAGGATACAATACCCGGCTTGACCTACCAAGTGCTGCAGACCAGGAATCCCTGACTCTTCAGTCTAGGGCAGCACCCAGACAATATTCCCACAGTTCAAGCTGGGGCGACAGGGACATGACCACCATCAACTGCACCTAATCTTTGAGGATAGCTTACAAGAGGTTCTGCCGGATCTTAGTGATCACCCATTGCATTCCGAACCCCGACCCTCTTCCAGGAAGTTTTTCCTGGTGTTGTGGTCTTGGCCTTGATCTCTGTGTTCTTTCTCCTTGCTCTGGTCTGGCTATTGCTCCATGCTTGGGACACTCCACCTGGTCTCTGCTCCAAGCATGTACGGGGGTTCTCACCAATTACAATGAAGGGACTTTGCCTTATTCCTACAATGTATGTTCTGCCTTTCATTCTTCAAAGTCTGAGCTTAAATTTCTCAATATAAACTTTGAAAATGCTTTACCACAAGATCTTCAATGTCATCAAGCTTCCTGGTTTGAAAGTGTCAGTAACAACAATACAAACATGACTTCTAATTCAGTCAATTTGCAAATGGTGAATTTCTTCAAACCTTTCCTCCATAAATATAACCAGGCTTCATTCAATTAACTAATTTAGATATTCAAACTATAGAAATTAAGTATGCTCTGATTTCACTGTTTTATTAATTTTTGTGCATAGACTTTATAAGGCTAGGAAATTCTTTGTAGGTGCATCTGTGTTACAATTGTTCTTTCATAGAAAGTCTCCTTGTGATGTTCTTAAATTTTTGTTGATCCTCAAACAATGTAATCATGAACATTTTAATAGTCATGTCTCACACTGTCATTATGAGACATTATCTATCCTGAATTAAACAAAACTCTACACATTTAAGTGACCTACCTTCAGTGCAGCCATTTGTAAGTATATTAAGTATAATATAATGAACATATTAAAAATATATTTTGTGAGGTCTGTGTATTACCGTTTCATTTGCATTTTTACAAAGAATACACAGATGTAACCTACCTTCAGGTAGTTTTTAATCTATATATTAATAAAAACAGATAATGACTTCTAAAACTGGCAAGTCTTGTGGCAACTGGCAAGTAGTAGATTGGTTCAAAATGGGTTTGTGATTGTTGGTGTCCTTATTGAAAATGGAACAAATGTAACTGATGGTGGAGTATGATAAATCAAGAGTTACAGGCGAACGTAATACCATTTCCGTCCTCCAAGATTCTAAAAGATATCTTCACAAAAAATAAGTAGAGACTTTTGGTGAACGCTTAAAATAATTCTAAATCAAATCTTTTATTCTAAATGTTTCCTTCTCGGAGGAGAGGAATTTGAATGTCATCTCTGCAGATTTAACAAATCTGTACGGTTTCACAAAACGGTGCAGTATTAAGTTAGAACTCTAAGTGTCGCTGTTCACTAACCCGGACAAGAAAATCAATGGGAACTCGAGTTACATCCTCCAGCCAGCCACAAGCCGATCAAACACCAAACTGCGCAGATATTGCGACCTGAAATGGCTCGTAACTGGACTCTACTCACTTAAGGATCTTGACCTCTAATTCTGTGGATCACAAAGTGATGCGAACCTGTTCTTCCTATTAATCCCGGGGAACTGTATCAACCCAGTCATGGCGGCTCTGCCAAAGCGCGGCGAGCTGCTCCTGCTCTTCGCTCTCCTGCAGTCGTTGTGGGGGATCGGAGCTGGACAGATCCGCTACTCCGTTCCTGAGGAGTTGGAGAAAGGTTCCTTCGTGGGGAACATCTCCAAGGACCTGGGGTTGGAGCCCCGGGAGCTGGCGGAGCGCGGAGTCCGCATCGTCTCCAGAGGTAGGACGCAGCTTTTCTCTCTCAACCCGCGAGGCGGCAGCTTGGTCACCGCGGGCAGGATCGACCGGGAGGAGCTCTGCGCTCAGAGTCCGCGGTGTCTGGTGAGTTTTAACATCCTTGTGGAGGATGAAATGAAGCTGTACCCTGTGGAAGTGGAAATAGTGGACATTAATGACAATGCGCCCCGATTCTTAAGGGAAGAATTGGAAGTGAAAATTCTGGAAAACGCAGCTCCATCCTCTCGTTTTCTACTAATGGAGGTCGATGATCCTGATGTGGGAATGAACTCTCTTCAGAGCTTCAGTGTCAGCAGTAATAATCATTTCTCGGTGGATGTACAAAGCCAAGCCCATGGGCCCAAGTACCCGGAGCTGGTGCTGGAGCATGCCCTGGACCGGGAGGGAGAAGCCATTCACCACCTAGTACTTACCGCCATGGATGGTGGTGACCCTGTCCGCTCAGCCATGGCACGAATTCTGGTAACTGTCCTAGATGTGAATGACAATGCTCCCATGTTCACTCAGCCTGTCTACAAAGTGAGTGTTCTTGAAAATCTGCCAGTAGGTACACCAGTGTTGTCAGTAAATGCCACTGACCAGGATGAAGGAGTCCATGCAGAAATAAATTATTCCTTCGTGAAGATCACAGAAAAGATCTCACAGATTTTCTCCTTGAATGTTTTGACTGGAGAAATTTCAACTTCTGCAACTCTAGACTATGAGGACTTGAGCTTTTACGAGTTGGATGTTGAAGCCCGAGATGGGCTAGGTCTTCAAGACAGAGCAAAAGTCTTAATAACCATCTTGGATGTGAATGATAATGTACCAGAAGTGGTTGTTACATCTGTAAGCAAAGCAATTGCTGAAAACGAGCCTCCAGGAACAGTAGTTGCTCTTTTTCAAGTGTACGATCGAGACTCTGGACTGAATGGCCAGGTAACATGTTCCATCTCAAGAAGTCTCCCTTTTGAATTGGAAAAATCAGTAGACAATTATTATCGATTAGTGACAAATACAGTTCTAGACCGGGAGCAGGTGTCTTTGTACAACATAACTGTGACAGCCACAGACAAAGGAACACCACCTCTGTCTACAAAAAAATTCATCTCCTTAAGTGTGTCTGACACTAATGACAACCCGCCCATCTTCTCCCATTCATCCTACTCTGTATACATCCCTGAGAACAACCCCAGAGGCACTTCCATCTTCTCCTTGAAGGCACTTGATCCTGACAGTGAAGAGAATGCCCAAGTCGTCTACTCCCTAGCCAAAGAAACTTTCCAGGGTGCACCTCTGTCCTCCTACCTCTCCATCAACCCCAATACTGGTGTCCTGTATGCACTGTGCTCCTTTGATTATGAGCAGTTTAGAGACTTGCAGCTACTAGTGACAGCCAATGACAGAGGGAACCCACCACTCAGCAGTAATGTGTCACTGAAACTCTTTGTGCTGGACCAGAATGACAATGCACCCGAGATTCTGTATCCTGTCCTCCCCACTGATGGTTCTACTGGTGTGGAGCTGGCTCCCCGCTCTGCAGAGCCTGGATATCTAGTTACCAAGGTGGTGGCAGTGGACAAAGACTCAGGACAGAATGCCTGGCTGTCCTACCGCTTAATCAAGGCCAGTGAGCCAGGGCTTTTCTCCGTGGGTCTTCACACAGGTGAGGTGCGTACAGCAAGGGCCTTGTTGGACAGAGATGCGCTCAAGCAGAGCCTCGTGGTAGCTGTGCAGGACCATGGCCAACCCCCTCTCTCAGCCACCGTCACGCTTACTGTGGCTGTGGCCAACAGCATCCCTGATGTCCTGGCGGACCTGGGCAGCATCAAGACCCCTGCTGATCCTGAGGACTCAGACCTCACACTTTACCTGGTGGTGGCAGTAGCTGCTGTTTCCTGTATATTCTTGGCCTTTGTTATGGTGTTGCTGGTGCTCAGACTGCAGCGTTGGCACAAGTCAAAGTTGCTGAAGGTTACGAGTGGGGGATTGTCAAGTGTGCCCACCTCACACTTTGTGGGCGTGGACGGGGTGCGCGCTTTCCTGCAAACCTATTCCCATGAGGTGTCGCTCACCTCGGACTCAAGAAAGAGCCATCTGATCTTCCCCCAGCCCAACTATGCCCACACTCTCATCAGCCAGGAGGGCTGTGAGAAAAATGAACCTCTATTAATACAGGAAGATTCAGGGTTTTGTAAAGAGGAAGACTCTTTTGTTCAGGTGAGATTACTGCTTTTATTGTTTTTTTTAAAACAGGAAATTTAAAGATTCTATTTGACCAGTGCTAAGTTTTCTCAGCCTCTTGGAACCACATATGCTATGGTTTGGTTATGAAATGTCTCCCAGAGACACACTTGGTCCTTGATGCGAGAGTATTTAGAGGTGGGCTGTTGGAAATTGATTGGGTTGGTGAATTCATAGTTGAATAGAGGTGATGGATAAGTGGAAGTTGAGGAGGAAGTTAGTTACTGCCATGCTTTCCTGCTGTACACATGCCTGTTGCCATGATGTTCTACCTCACCACAGCCTAAAGTAGTGAGGCCAGTCTGCCTTGGACTGAAACCGCTGAAATCATGAGCCAAAATGAACCTTTACTCCTTTAAGTTGGTTCCTCACAGGTACTTTGTCAAAGAAATGAAAATCTAGCATGATACAAATTCCTGGTGTTTTTCATTTATATCAGTAAATCTCTTTTAAATCTTAGTTTTCTTAAAAATATTAGCTCTAGATTCTTTCAGCCTTTCTCTTACTGGAAAACTTATCTGTACCTTTGATCTTATATACCTCATTTCTTAGGCTTTTTCCCTTATAATGTGACATTTATGAAATCCTTTTTCTAATTTGAAAAACAGCTGATGGGGGCAATGTAACTAACACATAAGCTTAATATATAAACCTATTTGGAATTGCCATTATGAATCTCCTCCCATATAATGAATATATTGTAATAAATAATTTTTTTAAAAAGCTGAACTGCAACCTCTGCTAAATAAGATCAAGATCTTAGTTTGTTCTCAATGTCACTTAATAATAGCAAATGTTTCCTAGAATAATGGAGAGTCATCATTTTAGGGATATTTTCCCTATTTATTTCTTAGGAATTAAAGGGTTTTTTTAAAGATTCATTGATGCTGATGACAGGGAATACATGATCTTTGGTGTTTAAAAGGCTTGGATAATATTCCTAGAACGAGTTTTCATTCATCTGAGCCAGTCAAAATCTCCATGGTCTTCTAACTAAAATTAAAATTAGTTAAGTTTATTTTTTTTGCCCTATCTACATCACACAATTCTGGGAAAATAAAACAATTTTATAAAATGTTTTTTCAAACTATAAAGCAGTATAGTGAACAAGTATTTGTTGATATCATAATCATTATATTTCATTGCTAAGAAAGTATAAGTACCTGGTGTTGTGTGCCTACTACAATGTCTTCTGCATATTTTGTGTTTGATAATATTTAATAATTAAAATGAATTTTAATATAGGCTCTGTAGTGACCACTTATAAAGTAGTATAGATCTGGCTGGTGATTGGGAGAAGGATTAATAAGATTCAAATAAGAATTTCAATTATTTAGTATTCAAAAGTAAGTTCGTGATGGTTAGCCCAGTGTGTCACAATGGTAGTTCTAGCACTCAGGACACTGAGGCAGAAGGATCACAAGTTCAATGCTAGCCTATGCTATATAGTGATACCCTATGAAAGAAAGGAGTGGGGAGGGGAGCCGGGTGCCAGTGGCTGATGCCTGTTATCCTAGCTACTCAGGAGGCAGCCATCAGCAGGATTGAGGTTCAAAGCCAGCCTGAGCAAATAGTTGCACTAGACCCTATCTCAAAAACCTCTTCACAAAAAAAAAGGGCTGGTGGAGTGGCTCAAAATGTAGGCCCTGAGCTCAAACCCAAAAAGTTTGAACGCAAAAAGAAAGAAAGAAAAAGGTGTGGTGGTTCACACCTATAATCCCAGAACTCAGAAGAAAGGAGGATCTCAAATTCAAGGCCAACTGCAGTTACATAGCTAGGTCCTGTCTCAAAAAAAAAAAAAAAGGAAATTGATAGCAATGGAATAGAAGATTCTATAATTTGATGAGTTATTTTTTTCCAATTTTGAGTTAAAGAATTCTGTTACCTGACAATAGATGGGTGGCCAGTCGAGCTCTTAAATTTGATATGCACGTGAAAAAAAAACATGAGAAGAGATTGAAAATGTGTAAGAACCTCCTTTGAAGCCTGACTTTGTCAGAACATTGAGAGCCTGGGGGTGTGGCTTAGTGGTAGAGCACTTGCCAGCCATGCTCAAGGCCCTGAGTTCAATCTCCAGCACTATAAAAATACATAAATAGATAAATGAATAAATAAATAGCATTGAACTTGCCTAGCATGCCTGAAACCCTGGGCGCAAACCCCATCACTAGGAAGAAAAAACGGAAAAGAATAAACTTTGACGTTTTGTATTTTGTTTTGTTTTGGTTTTGAGGCACGGTATTGCTATGTAGCATAGTTTGGCCTCTGACTTTTGATCTCCCTGCACCCACTCCCAAGTGCTGGGACTACAGGCATGTACCAAAATGGCCAGATATTGATGGTTTTAAGTAAGATTATAAGAATTCTTCATGTTTCACTAAGCCAATGTTATGATATTTACATTTCTGCAATTTTTTTTGCAATACTGGGGCTTGAAGTCAGGGCCTACACCTTGAGCCACTCCACCACCCCTTTTTTGTGAAGAGTTTTTTTTTAGATAGGGTCTCTCGAACTATTTGCCCAGGCTGGCTTCGAACTGCTATCCTCCTGATCTACGCCTCCTGAGTAGCTAGGATTACAGGCGTGAGCCAACAGCCCCCGGCATTTCTACAATTTTATAGGAGTACTTATTTCAAGTTTCCAAATGCATCTGACTAACCAAAAGATTCCATGAATACCATTTCAAATCTGATTTGTTTGGACATTTGTGATATGATTCTTTGACGGTTTTTAAATCAGAATTTTATAACAAATTGCAATTTCAGGAAAATTACATCTTAGGTATTAGTCATGTAAGTTCAATGGTCTCCTACACAAATATGATGATTTGTTTTGTATACTTTGAGAGTATGAATGTTATTTTACTATATTTGAGTGACTTGAACTGCATCTTGGACATCCATCATTATAGCTAACTGTGTTTCATGAACAGTAGGCTGGTTTATTTTATTCTTTTACCCAAGTTGTCTGTGACCATTTCATTTAAACAAATAAAACATTTCACTGGCAGGAAAAAACTACCAGATTATATTCATGCAATAGTCACTCATTCATGTGGATTGACCAACTGTTAAACCTCCTGGCAATCATGGATTTGCTAACTTCTGACTGAATGTAACTCTTCAATCTACCCACCATATAAATCATTGATATTAAGATAAGCTGTAGAGAATTTGAGCATATACTGAATTTTGAAGCATCCGGGCAAAAAATTCTACCAAATTATTGAGCTGTTTTATCATCTATGTAAACTGTACATTTCTAATCAAACTTCTGTCGAAGTGACAGCTGTCAACAGGAAGGAACAAAATCTCAGAATCATTGTAAAATATCTACATCTTTGGAGTAAACTAAACAGAACTTCAAACAAATAGTTCTTCAGTAGAAAAAAAAAGATTCCACAAAGAAAATGAAGATAATTAACACAATGCTTGGCAAGTTTTTTATCACAAGTTCAGAATTCTTCCCAGTAACTCAATAACAACATACCATCTCTAAAGCTACAAAAAAATTTCAATTTGCTATAGTAACCTTATGCTATATTTTATTAAATCTATCTTTGCTGGACAGTAGAGATCGTTAATGTTTAATTTTGTTGTGGAGTAACTTAGAAAACATAAATACTAGAATAATGAAGCCAGTTATTCCGTGTACAAGGAGTAAATATATACTTAAATAACATTTACCATTTTACCTGCAATAGTTGATTTTCTATGTGCAACAAAGTGTGAGTCACTGACCAAGAAAGTAACTTGCAATACAAAAATCCATTTTAAAAATTTATCCGGGATTTTCAAATACCCATCTTTGAGCACAGTTGCATTAATCCAGTGTCTACAAAATGTATTATAAAGTATATCAAAGATATCGGGAGTGAAGAAACTTAAGTAAACGGAAATTTTGAAGGATAAAACAACTTTCTGTAAAATCAGTTTATTTTGCTTCAATATGGTGTAGTAACTCAGTAAGGACTCTGAGCGCCGCTGTTCACCAACCAGGGAAAAGAGGTGCGACAGCTGCAACAGAACCACCTAGTTTCACAGCGCAGAGAGACAGACTGAGACAAGCCCTCTTGCAAGCTGCACCAAACTCGAGCCTCTCTGCTGGATTCCTGGCTTCTCTTCTGAACTCAGGGGATCCACGGGGACACACCTGGGTTCCGAAGCAGGACAGGGACCTTTCAATGCCAAAGCAAGGTCAGCAGGGCAGCAATGGCGACTCGGCAGAGGGGCGGAGACTATAAAGGATTAGTCCTGTTCTCCATCCTCCTGGGAACCTGGTGGGAAGCCTGGGCAGGACAAATTCTCTACTCCGTGTCTGAAGAGTCAGACAAAGGGTCTTTTGTGGGGAACATCTCCAAGGACCTGGGACTGGCGCCCCAGGAGCTGGCAGAGCGCAAAGTCCGCATCGTCAATAAAGGTAGGGTGCAGCTCTTTGATCTGAACCCGAGAAGCGGCAGCTTGGTCACTGCGGGCAGGATAGACAGGGAGGAGCTATGCGCTCAGAGCGCGCGGTGTGTGGTGACCTTTAACATCTTGATGGAAGATAAAATGAGTCTTTACCCTATAGAAGTGGAAATAATGGATCTTAATGACAACACACCTAGATTCTTGACAGAAGAAATAAACGTAAAAATAATGGAAAATACAGCTCCTGGGATGCGGTTTCCGCTAAACGAGGCAGTAGATCTAGATGTGGGCACGAACTCCCTCCAGAGATACCAGCTCAGCCCCAATCGCCACTTCTCCCTGGTTGTGCAAAGTGGAGACGATGGAACTAAGTACCCGGAACTGGTGCTGGAGAAGGTTCTGGACCGGGAGCAAGAGGTGATACACCATCTGGTCCTCACAGCCTACGATGGCGGGAACCCACCCTTATCTGGCACTGCTAACATTCAGGTGACAGTGGTGGATGTCAATGATCACACACCAGTCTTCTCTCTGTCCCAGTATCAGGTAACTGTCCCTGAAAATGTGCCAGTAGGCACAAGACTTCTTACAGTAAATGCTATCGATCCAGATGAGGGATTCAACGGGGAAGTGACGTATTCTTTTCGGAAAATAACGCCAAAACTTCTACAAATATTCCACCTGAGTTCCCTTACAGGAGAATTGACCATTTTAAAAGGTCTGGATTATGAAGAATCCAGCTTCTATGAAATGGAAGTTCAGGCTCAGGATGGTCCTGGTAGTCTGACAAAGGCAAGAGTACTGATCACAGTTTTAGATGTGAACGACAATGCCCCAGAAGTGACTGTAACATCTGTAAGCAGCCCAATTCCTGAAGACACACTTCCTGGAACAGTTATTGCTCTTTTCTACCTCCAAGACAGAGACTCAGGGAAGAATGGTGAGGTAACCTGCGCTCTCCCAGAATATCTGCCCTTCAAATTAGAAAGGTCAATAGATAATTATTACAGATTGATTACAGATAAAACCCTGGACAGGGAAAAGCTCTCTGTGTACAACATCACACTGAAAGCCATGGATGGTGGAACCCCTCCCCTGTCAACGGAAACGCAAATATCTGTGCAAGTGGAAGACACCAATGACAACCCACCCACCTTCCCCCACTCCTCTTACTCCATCTGCCTCCCTGAGAACAACCCCAGAGGCACCTCCATCTTCTCAGTGACTGCCCATGACCCTGATAGTGACAAGAATGCTCAGGTCACTTATTCCTTGGATGAAGACACCATCCAGGGGGAGCCAGTGTCTTCCTATTTCTCTATCAACTCTGACACTGGTGTCCTATATGCGCTTCGATCTTTTGACTATGAGCAGTTTCGTAACCTACAACTGAGAGTGACTGCACGTGACAGTGGGAACCCTCCTCTTAGCAGCAATGTGTCACTGAGCCTGTTTGTGCTGGACCAGAATGACAATGTACCTGAAATCCTATACCCCACCCTTCCTACGGATGGCTCCACTGGTGTGGAACTGACACCCCGCTCAGCAGAACCTGGATACTTAGTAACCAAGGTGGTGGCAGTAGACAAAGACTCAGGACAGAATGCCTGGCTGTCCTACCGCCTGCTCAAGGCCAGTGAGCCAGGACTTTTCTCCGTGGGGCTACACACGGGCGAAGTGCGCACAGCAAGGGTCCTGCTGGACAGAGATGTGCTGAAGCAGAGCCTCGTGGTGGCTGTGCAGGACCATGGCCAGCCTCCTCTCTCGTCCACTGTCACACTCACCATTGCTGTGGCAGACAGCATCCCTGATGTCCTAGCAGACCTGAGCAACATCAGGACCCCCATTCACACTGATAATTCAGACCTCACACTCTACCTGGTTGTGGCAGTGGCCGTGGTCTCCTGTGTGTTCCTTGTCTTTGTTATAGTGCTGCTGGCGCTCAAAATGAGGCACTGGCACAAGACACACCTGCTCCAGGCTGCAGGAGGTGGGATGGAGGATATACCTGCCTCACACTTTGTGGGTGTGGACGGGGTGCGCGCTTTCCTGCAGACCTATTCCCATGAGGTGTCCCTCACCGCGGATTCTCGGAAGAGCCACATCATCTTCCCCCAGCCCAACTATGTGGATACTCTCATCAGCCAGGAGAGCTGTGAGAAAAATGACTCTTTGTTAACATCCTTAGATTTTCATGAGTGTAAGGATGAGGTCCCAAGCATTCAGGTGAGTTTGATTTTTCCTTTTATCTTCATTTCCACATGAATTATGTTTTGCATGAAATGTCTCCGTTATTTTGCAAAACAAGGATTTTGAAGATGGGGATTAAGAAAACCTTCAAGAGGTAAAAATAAGTTTATCATTGTATTTCGGTTGTGTTACTTTAACGTGGAAATCATAGATTATAACACCATTTCTTTTATGAAGTCCACAGCCAAGACTATAAAGAAGTAGGCCTTCACATTTTTGCACCTTCCAATCTGCTTTTCACTTGGTTTTCTTAAGTTGTACATTTTCTAAATGAAAATGAATTCTGGGTATTTTTAAGTGTGCTGGGTTATCAAGAGTAAAGTCCACCATAGGCCCCTTCTTGGGGTTCTCTTTAGGATTCACATCTATAAAGGGCAAAAGCAATTTTCTGTAGTCTGCTTCTGCCTCCATAACCCTCAGCTTTGTATCTCTGAAAATCATGATTGCTTCCTCAACTATTTAAAGCTTACTTATCTATTAAAGTTGTCTTGCTACTAGATTAGATTGGTTCCTTAAGAGTGAACTGTGTCAAACTTCACTAAGACCTACATCAAAGACAAAACATCCCATGTGACACTAATGGTCATTGGCCAAAATAAATTTAATATGTTAAATAAAATATCAATTTAAGCCAGGTGTAGTGACTCACACCTCTAATCCCAGTGGGAGGCAGAGGCATGTGGATCAAGAGTCCCGGGCCAACCTGGGCTACACAATGACATCTTGTTTCCAAAAACAGACCCAAAAAAAGTCATTTCAAGTGTTATTACTGGCATTTGTGAAATAGGCAGTTGCATACTTTCACACAGAATTCCAATGTGCTCTTTTAGTTTTTCATCCATCTGAAGTGTCTGTAGGCTCTGGAAGTAGGAGATGGTCCATCACACAACCTGAAAAAACTCATTAGAAATAACCCAGTGTGGGGACTAACTACTTCCATATTCTTTATTATAATTTTTAATAAAGTTCAATACTTCAGGTGATTTTCAACTGTAAGAGTAGATAACAAGGTAATTTTGACTTCTGAGACCCTCTGAGTGTTAATTACAGGAACTTTTTTCTAGTGTAGGAGTGTATGTGGTGGTATTTTGCATGTAAGCGATTTTGCAGTGGCATGAGAGATCATCATGAAACCCACAGAGCTATCACAAGCCAGCTTTGTAAGGACTGTTTCCTTCCAATTCTGAGGCCATTATGGGATGTAAAACAATGTGCAGAGGTAGACGCCATTCTGAAGTTCAATAAACCTCGGTATCTTTGTGTTGCGAGGCAAAATATTATTCCCCGGTAACGTTGACTTTATATATTGCAACCAGGAGATAATTGTGTAACAGGAAAGGGGCAGGCTAACTTTTCAGGATGCAGCATTTCTTTACCTGAGATAATGGAAAAATGAGAATCACATAAAAATACTGTAAGGAAATCATTATTTTGGAAAAAGAGATGTGTTTGGAGATAAGTATAAATTGCACCTTTTTAAAAACACTTCAGCATTATTGATGCTCTTTGGGAAAAAAAGATGGTATCTATGATACCATAGATTAAAAACTCAAAGATTTAAGCAAAGATATGGACAGAAAACTTAAATTTTTATAGACTCTTTCCCAGAATCCAAAAATCAGTAGCGAAGAAACAAACTACTCACAGGCAACTTCAAGAAATGCCATTCTCAGCAAACGACTTCTTTCAACTTGGAAAAAGGACTATCCTTTATGGTAAATATGCATTCTTCCTGCTGTCTTTGAAATTTCCTTGCCCTGTTCCCTGTGAAAGTTTTCTGTTGCATTCTATATAAAAATACAGGATATAAAATTTAAAAAGTGAAATGAATAAGCTTGGAGGTACCCAGAAAAGTAGAGAAAAACATTAGGAACAAAACTTGAAGGAATCTAGAAAAGTAGAGGAAAAACATTAGGAGCAATAAAAAAAACGAAATACTAACCTCTGTATTGCTACCGAACGCAAAATTATTATCTCTGTATCACTAGTGCGTATTTGAAGACTGGGTCATGATTTTGTAAACAAGTAGATATCCATGTACTTAATCTACGTGATTTAGCTAAAATGGGGCTCAAAGGCATTTCTAAGAGCAAAGCTTCAAAAAGTTAGGAGATATATAAATGTAACAACATAGTTTGTGCTGTTAAGACAATTACAGTTCTGGTTGAACTCAAACTGCAGAGGCTGCAGTTTCCCAGTGCGGACTCTGGGCGCCGCTGTTGGCCAAAGTAGAGAGCTTGGCGCTCGCGATCTTCTCGCGCAGCCGCAGCGCGCTTGCCTGGGCAGCCCTATCCGACCTGCCAGCGCCAGCCTTTCCACCGCTTCTTCCTGGGAAAAAGAATCTTTTCATGGACCGGAACTGGAACTAAAGTCCATTCGGAACTCCAAGTATTGGCCACACAGAGCTTATTCGTAATCCGGAGTCCACAGGCTGGTAAGCAAGCTGAGGGGAGCAAGAAGGATGGGGAGCGGCGCTGCGGAAAGGAGCCGGGCCGAGAGGCGGCCAGTGCTCCTTCCCTTCCTGCTGTCTTTGTTCTGCCCGGCGATCTCTGAGCCGATCCGCTACAAGATCCCCGAGGAAATGCCCACGGGCTCGGTGGTGGGGAACCTCGCCAAGGACCTGGAGTTCAGCATCCACGAGTTACCGAGTCGAAAACTCCGCATCAGTTCGGAGAAGCCTTACTTCACGGTGAGCGCAGAGAGCGGGGAGTTGCTTGTGAGCAGCAGGCTGGACAGGGAGCAGATATGTGGGAAGAAGCCAGCTTGTGCTCTGGAATTTGAAGCTGTGGCTGAAAACCCATTGAACTTTTACCACGTGAATGTGGAGATCGAGGACGTTAACGACCACGCGCCAAAATTCGCGCATGCCTCCTTTGAGCTGCAAATAAGCGAGTCTACAAAGCCCGGGGCACGATTTATCTTAGGATCTGCCCACGATGCAGATATTGGAACCAACTCACTTCAGAATTATCAGCTCAGTCCCAATGATCATTTCTCACTTGTGAATAAAGAGAAATCAGATGGCAGTAAGTACCCTGAAATGGTATTGAAGACACCCTTAGACCGCGAAAAGCAGAATTCCTACCACTTGACCTTGACTGCCTTGGACTTTGGCGATCCACCCCTCAGCAGCACTGCACAGATACAGGTCCTAGTGACTGATGCCAATGATAACCCTCCAGTGTTCCGCCAAGACATATACAGGGTGAGCCTTAAAGAAAATGTGTTCCCAGGAACCACTGTGCTTCAGGTGACTGCCACAGACCAGGATGAAGGTGTCAATTCTGAGATCACTTTCTCTTTCAGTGAAGTTGTTCACATCACACAGTTTGACCTGAATTCTAGTACTGGGGAAATTACTACCCTAAAAATGTTAGATTTTGAAGAAGTCAAAGAATATTCCATTGTTTTGGAAGCAAGGGATGGTGGAGGAATGATTGCACAATGTACAGTGGAGATAGAAGTCCTAGATGAAAATGACAATGTCCCAGAAGTGATATTCCAATCTCTACCTGACCTAGTTATGGAAGATGCAGAGCTAGGAACACACATTGCTTTACTTAAAATCCATGATAAGGATTCTGGATCCAACGGAGAGGTTACTTGTAAATTAGAGGGTGAGGTTCCGTTTAAAATACTCGCTTATTCAAGAAACACATATAAATTAGTGACGGATGGGATTCTAGATCGCGAAGAGAACCCAGAGTACAACGTCACCATCACAGCCACTGACCAGGGTAAGCCGCCCCTCTGTTCCAGCGCAAGTGTAATCCTGCATATTGGTGATGTAAATGATAATGCTCCGGTTTTCAACCAGGCCTCTTATGTGGTTCACGTGGCCGAGAACAACCCGCCTGGAGTCTCTATTTCCCAGGTCAGCGCCTTTGACCCTGACTTGGGGCCCAACGGACAAGTCTCCTACTCCATCATAGCCAGCGACCTAGAGCCTCGGGTGCTGTGGTCCTACGTGTCCGTGAGCGCGCACAGCGGGGTGGTGTTCGCGCAGCGCGCCTTCGACCACGAGCAGCTTCGCTCTTTCCAGCTGACGCTGCAGGCCCGCGACCAGGGCTCACCCGCGCTCAGCGCCAACGTGAGCCTGCGCGTGATGGTGGGGGACCGCAATGACAACGCGCCAAGGGTGTTGTACCCCTCACTGGAGCCTGACGGTTCCGCGCTCTTCGATATGGTGCCGCGAGCCGCTGAGCCCGGGTACCTGGTCACCAAAGTGGTGGCGGTGGACGCCGACTCAGGGCATAATGCCTGGCTATCCTATCACGTACTGCAGGCCAGCGATCCCGGGCTTTTCAGCTTGGGGCTGCGCACTGGCGAGGTTCGGACCACTCGCGCCTTGGGTGACAGAGATGCGACTCGTCAGCGCCTACTGGTCGCTGTGAGTGATGGCGGACGGCCGCCCCTCTCAGCCACTGCCACGCTGCACCTTGTCTTCGCTGATAGTCTACAGGAGGCACTTCCAGACCTCAGTGAGAACCCTGTGCCCTCTGATCCTCAAGCCGAGCTTCAGTTTTACCTGGTAGTCGCTTTGGCCTTGATCTCAGTGCTCTTTCTCCTGGCGGTGACTCTAGCTATTGCCTTGCGTTTGCGACACTCCTCCAGCACCAAGTCTTGGGGCTGCTTTCAGCCTGGCTCCTGTTCTAGGTCTGGACCTGTGGTTCACCCCAACTACAGCGAGGGAACTTTGCCCTATTCCTACAATGTGTGTGTTGCAAACTCGGGGAAGACGCAGTTCGATTTCCTAAAATGTAGTGAGCAGTTGAGTTCAGGACAAGACCCACTTTGCGGTGATTCATGCGGCGTCTTGTTTCCACTTTGTAATCCCAGTGAGTCAACTTCCCATCAGGTGAGTCTCCTTTAAACATAACTTCATTTTCTTTTGCTACACAGTTCTGCATATTCACAGGAAAAATTTCAGATCTGGTGCGTTATCTTAAGGATAGCTAACCCCAGATGTAACTAAGTGGAGGAGCACTTGGTGGAGACTCCTGAGGCCCTGGGTTCAATCCCTAACACTGCCCCCCCCCCAAAAAAATGTAGTCATTTAAAAAGCTCTCATACAAGTCTTCAAAGTAATTTATGTGGCTTATAGCTGTGTTCCTGGCACTTAATACTGTATATAGTGAATACTTTTTGCAGCTTGGATATACTCTATAAAACAACCACTTGAGTAAACCTTTAAAACAAAAGAATTTTAGCTAAAATTAGACATATTTCTTCATTGAATTTAACTGGTATGGTGTCCATACTAATCTGCTGTTTTGTTTCTTATGTTTACTTCCTTTTTTTCAAAATTTCCTAGAATAAGTTATCATAAACTGGGTTTTTATGTCCATGGCCCCCTTGTAATTTTATGCACAGTACCGTGTGTGTGTGTGTGTGTGTGTGTGTGTGTGTGTGTGTGATCATTTCCTCAGCAAAGGTCCATAATGGGCATCAGAAGATCAAAAGTAGCTTTCGCCTGTGGCTCATGCTTGTAATCCTAGCTACTTAGGAGGTTGAGATCAGGAGGATCAAGGTTTGAGGCCAGCTTGGGCAAACAGCTTGTGAGACCCCCCCCATCTTCAAAATAACCAGAGCAAAATGGACTGGAGGTGTGGCTCAAGTGGTAGAGTGCCTGCTTTGCAATCTTGAAGCCCTGAGCCCAGTCCCACCATACATAAATAAATAAATAAGAAACAGATTGTCCATGCTTGCAGCATAGGTTTTTCAGGGTTAATCTGTACTGAAAGTCATTCAGTAGGCTCCTTAATCAAAGAAGAGACAAGGAATGTTTTGCTTCTGTGTTTCTCTTAAATTTTTTTTTGCAATCTCTAATTAATATATCTAGAGATCTTCTAAACATTCTGCTACCTCTAGGAGAGAAACAGTCTTGAATTTTTCAAATTTTTTGACAACACTGCCAATCAGATGTGCATATGAAGTGAGTACAAAAGATCACAGTAAACTGTCAGCCACTTACTAGGTGTCTTTTAGCAACTGCATAGTTACTGGTCACTTTACAGGATGAAGGATTTTTTCCTTCATCAACAATAAGTGCAGTGGCACTTATTGTTTGACTTCTTAGTGACACATGTGTGTTCCTTACTTTTTCTTGTTCTTTTGATCAAAATATTCATGGAGCAAAAATCTTTAGAATATATATCTATCTTAAAAAACAGACTGCTTCAAATGTAATCATCTTTCTTTGGTGAGAGGGGTGGGATGAAGATTGCTTTTGGTTATATATTCATTTGTACCTTTCAGGTATTTTCTATTCAACTAGAAGGATATAGATAAACAAAATGAGAAGACAATATAATCTTTGATAAAACTTGAGTTGTAAAACCATTTGTCTTGTTAAAATGTTCGATGTCATTTTAAAACATTGAAACATGTTAAACATTTAACATATGTAGTTAAAATGACGATTAGAAAGAAAATTTAAAAGCAACTACTGTATAGGAAGCTACTATACTGACTTAAACCAAATAAACCAACTTCAGAGTCAATCATCTACAATAGATCTATTTTACTCTAAAAATGAATTCATTTCAGTGACAACAGTAGTTCTTACTTATTTAATAATATATTGAAGATATTCTCAGTAAAGCTTAGGGCACAATGGGAAATAAAACTATCCTATTTGGATTTAGAGGAGTAAATGTATTACAGAAATGTGAGTAATGTGATGTTAATCCACAAATCTGAGCATTTAATAATACTTTATAAAATCTTAACCCCACTTTATCCCACACTCGTTGGCAATTTCTTTGAAAATATGGATTAAGGAAGAAATTAAATAAATTCAAAATAAAGAAGTAAAAAGCGATGAGTATTTTTCCTCACTCATCTAGCAGAATACTGCATATCTAAGTAATCTGTATCTAAGTGCAGTGACCGCTTAGGACTGTAAGCGCCGCTGTTCACCTACTAGGAGACAAAGGCAACGGAAAGGATATGAGATTCTCTGGGCTCACATATCACTGACTGGCAGATCCTACAAACCAACTGCTGGGCAGCAGCAAAATTCTATCCCTAAATTTGGGGCTCGCCAGCTTTCCATAAGACCAGGATAACCCAGGCAGAAAGGTAAACAAGACACCTATACCCAGTGAAGATTCTGAAAGGATTCTGTAGCAAAGCAACAATGGCCGCTTCAAAAAATCAACAAGGACGCGCGGAGCTGATCCTGCTGTTTGTGCTGCTGGGGATGCTGTGGGAGACCGGGACAGGACAGATCCGCTACTCGGTTCCAGAAGAGGAGGACAAAGGCACCTTCGTGGGGAACATCTCCAAGGACCTGGGGTTGGAGCCCCGGGAGCTGGCGGAGCGCGGAGTCCGCATCGTCTCCAGAGGTAGGACGCAGCTTTTCTCTCTCAACCCGCGAGGCGGCAGCTTGGTCACCGCGGGCAGGATCGACCGGGAGGAGCTCTGCGCTCAGAGTCCGCGGTGTCTGGTAAATATTAACATTCTCGTTGAGGATAAAGGAAAACTCTTTGGGGTAGAAATAGAAATAACAGATATTAACGATAATAACCCAAAATTCCATGTTGAAAATCTGGAAGTAAAAATCAACGAAATAGCAGCTCCGGGAGCACGTTATCCGCTTCCAGAAGCTGCTGACCCGGATGTGGGTGTGAACTCCCTCCAGGGCTACCAGCTCAGCCCCAGTCACCATTTCTCCCTGGACGTGCAGACTGCAGACGATGGAACTATAAACCCAGAGCTGGTGCTGGAGCGCGCCCTGGACCGAGAGGAAGAGGCGGTTCACCACCTGGTCCTCACTGCCACGGATGGAGGCGACCCGCGCCGCTCCAGCACAGTGCACATCCAGGTGACGGTGTTGGATACAAATGACAATGCCCCAGTTTTTGCTCAACCGATTTACCGAGTGAAAGTCCTTGAGAACGTGCCCCCAGGGACCCTGTTGCTTACAGTGAGAGCTAGCGACCTGGATGAGGGATCCAATGGAAAAGTGGTATATAAATTCCGGAAAATTAATGAAAAACAATCTTCATTATTCCAGCTTGATGAAAATACCGGCGAAATATCAGTAGCAAAGAATCTAGATTATGAAGAATGTTCCTTATATGAAATGGAAATACAGGCTGAAGACGTCGGGGCACTTCTGGGGAGAACCAAATTGGTAATTATGGTGGAAGATGTAAATGACAATAGACCTGAAGTGACCATTACGTCTCTATTTAGCCCAGTGTTAGAAAACTCTCTTCCTGGTACAGTAATTGCCTTCTTGAATGTGCATGACCGAGACTCTGGTAAGAATGGTCAAGTTGTCTGTTACACACATGATAATTTACCTTTTAAGTTGGAAAAGTCAATAGATAATTATTATCGATTGGTGACATGGAAATTCTTAGACAGAGAAAAAGTCTCTACCTACAATATCACAGTGATAGCCTCAGATCTTGGAACACCACCTCTGTCTACCGAAACTTACATCGCCCTGCATGTGGCTGACACCAATGACAACCCACCTGCCTTCTCTCGTGCCTCCTATTCAGCCTATATTCCAGAGAACAACCTCAGAGGGGCCTCTATCTTCTCATTTACTGCACATGACCCGGACAGTCAGGAAAATGCACAGGTCACTTACTCTGTGACAGAGGACACCATCCAGGGAGTGCCTCTGTCTTCCTATGTGTCCATCAACTCTGACACTGGAGTTCTGTATGCACTGCAATCTTTTGATTATGAGCAGATCCAAGACTTGCAGTTACTGGTGATTGCCAGTGACAGTGGAAAACCACCACTTAGCAGCAATGTGTCACTGAGCCTGTTTGTGCTGGACCAGAATGACAATGTACCTGAGATCTTGTACCCTGCCCTCCCCACAGACGGCTCCACTGGTGTAGAACTGGCTCCCCGCTCCTCAGAGCCTGGATACCTGGTGACCAAGGTGGTGGCGGTGGACAGAGACTCTGGACAGAATGCCTGGCTGTCCTACAGCCTGCTCAAGGCCAGTGAGCCAGGCCTCTTCACAGTGGGTCTGCACACAGGTGAGGTGCGCACAGCAAGGGCCTTGCAGGACAGAGACGTGGTCAAGCAGAGTCTGGTGGTAGCTGTCCAGGACCACGGCCAGCCTCCCCTCTCTGTCACCACCACTCTTACTGTGGCAGTGGCTGACAGCATCCCTGAAGTGTTGGCGGACTTGAGCAGCATCAGTACCCCTGATGCCCCAGATGATTCAGACCTCACGCTCCACCTGGTGGTGGCAGTGGCCATTGTATCCTGTGTCTTCCTCATCTTTGTCATTGTGCTATTAGCACTCAGGCTGCGGTGCTGGCAAAAGTCCCGCCTGCTCCAGGCCTCGGGAAGTGGATTGGTGGGTGTGTCACCCTCACACTTTGTGGGCATCGATGGGGTACAAGCTTTTCTGCAGACCTATTCTCACGAGGTCTCCCTCACTTCCGGTTCCCAGACAAGTCACGTTATCTTTCCTCAGCCCAACTATGCAGACATGCTCATTAGCCAAGACAGCTGTGAGAAAAATGATTCTCTGTTAACATCCATAGATTTTCATAAAAGTAAGGACGAAGCTGCTTGTGCTCCGGTGAGTTCAGTTCTCTGTTTTTCTTTTATTTCTCAGAGGAATTTTAAGGCATGTGTAAGGCTTTGTTTATTTTAGTGGTGATATTATAAAAGCAAATACTTATAGTCCTAAGTTCTTTCATTTGCTTTCAAAAGGGTTAGATAGTGGGGCTGGGGTCGTGGCTCAAGTGGTAGAGTCTCTGCCTGGCAACCATGAGGCCCTGAGTTCAAACCCAAGTACTACCAAAAAGTGGGGGGGGAGGCTTGGAGAAGAGATAATTCAACCTTTTTAGGTTTCTCACTATTTAACTCCTATTCTCACTCCTTCAAGAATTAGTTACCTACCCACACACATATACATATTGCATATATGTATATTCTACATTAGGACTGTGAAAAAGTAATTGAGACTTCCAAATCCTTGTAATACCTTAGTAATTGTCAAATAGGTGGAGAATTTTAAGGATTAAAATATTGATAACTAGGATATTGATGATTTCTTCACTTTAAACATCTTTTGAGCCATGTTTCTACCTCAGTGTCCATCAAAACTTTACTACTTCTTACTAGCATTTCAAAATATAAGCATATCTTAAAGGGTGGGTCTTGATGGGAGGTGAGACTGGCACTATACCAATGGATATTTGCAATGTAAAGCCTAAAATGGGTATTACTTCCTCCCACGAAAAGCAACACAATCAAATCTGAAATATCATTTTAAACTCTTGAAAGTGACTTTGTAAAATACAGAATAACGTATTTCAATAGAGTGCCAATGAGCTTTATAGGTGCACATCTATATGAAATGCTGAGAATGTTCAAATGATGATTTTTGGAACAAAACTTGTGTACAGAAATTTGAAAGAAGCTGATCAATTCCACAAAAATGATTCTATACATCTTCTGTATTCCTTCCTATAGCATTTGAGTGCAGTTAATTCCTGCTTTGGCTGTCATCAGTTGAAAGTAGAAGACATGATCAACCTATGTTACTATAGAACAGAATATTTCCCAGGAATTGTGCAGTATTCCATCCTATGTTGCATATAAAGTGGGATGGTAGTTAGCTTCATACTTTCTGTAGCATCTGGGTACACAAATTTTAAGGTACACCTATAATATAGATACTTTATAATTTTATAAGTGATAAGGAAAATTGTTCTGATGGATATTGAAATCTTTACTGTCTCTAAAATGTTTTTTGACTTTTAAAAAAAGTTAGCAAATAGGGATTAGGAAATGTACCTCAATTCCAGGGTGCTTGCATTAGCAATGTGCAAGCCCTGGGTTTGATTTCCAGCACCATAAAAAATTAACAAATGGAGTACAAAGTTCAACCACTATATTCAGTAAATCTATGTAAATAAGCTTACTTTGAGCTCAGTTCCTCCAATTCCAAACTCATTCAGTAGAATGTAAATACATGCATAGAGAAGTAACGCAGCCTATGGGAACATCCATGAATTTGTATTGCAGGATAATCTTTTCCCCAGTAACTTTAAGAATGAATTAATGTGATATAAAGAGGCGGATATAGGCGAAGTAATATTGAAATATGAAAAAGAGGGACTTAGAGGTTATACCATATCTTGGCTATATAATATGGACAGTCTTTTGAAATGAAAGGTATAGAGAAATTATTTTTATAAAGAGATTGTTGATATTACCAAGAATAGGAGACATTTGAGGATTAGCAAAAACTTGCACAAGCTTAGAAAAAAATTGAACAGTATCTATGTTCCCTAATTATGTGATATGAAACAGCATTAATTACCTACAATTAATGCTGTGAGAAAATTACTAAAATCAATGAAAGAAAAAGAAAAAGAAATTTAACATATCGCAGCTAACAGATGAATTTGTGAAATCAGTAGACTAGGAAGTCTCCGAGGGCAAGGCTTCTTCTGTCTTACTGATAATTATATCACCACTCAAAGGAGCAATAGCTCAGTGTATGCTTGTAGGAAGGTGAAAGAATGGTTTGTATAAAAACTCAACGTGTTATTTTTCACAATCTAGAAACAAGGGGAGTGATATCTGAAAAAGGGCTATACAATTTATTGTTAAATTAAACATAAAAATACGGCTTGTTTAGTTAGGCCCAATTCGAATTCCCCCCCTGGTTAAACTGAAACTGCAGAGGCTGCAGTTTCCCAGTGCGGACTCTGGGCGCCGCTGTTGGCCAAAGTAGAGAGCTTGGCGCTCGCGATCTTCTCGCGCAGCCGCAGCGCGCTTGCCTGGGCAGCCCTATCCGACCTGCCAGCGCCAGCCTTTCCACCGCTTCTTCCTGGGAAAAAGAATCTTTTCATGGACTGGAACTAAAGTCCATTCGGAACTCCAAGTATCGGCCACACAGAGCTTATTCGTAATCCGGAGTCCACAGGCTGGTGAGCAAGCTGAGGGGAGCAAGAAGGATGGGGAGCGGCGCTGCGGAAAGGAGCCGGGCCGAGAGGCGGCCAGTGCTCCTTCCCTTCCTGCTGTCTTTGTTCTGCCCGGCGATCTCTGAGCCGATCCGCTACAAGATCCCCGAGGAAATGCCCACGGGCTCGGTGGTGGGGAACCTCGCCAAGGACCTGGAGTTCAGCATCCACGAGTTACCGAGTCGAAAACTCCGCATCAGTTTGGAGAAGCCTTACTTCACGGTGAGCGCAGAGAGCGGGGAGTTGCTTGTGAACAGCAGGCTGGACAGGGAGCAGATATGTGGGAAGAAGCCAGCTTGTGCTCTGGAATTTGAAGCTGTGGCTGAAAACCCATTGAACTTTTACCACGTGAATGTGGAGATCGAGGACGTTAACGACCACGCGCCAAAATTCGCGCATGCCTCCTTTGAGCTGCAAATAAGCGAGTCTACACAGCCAGGCAAGCGATTTATATTAGAAGTAGCGGAAGATGCAGATATTGCCTTAAACTCTCTTCAGGATTATAAACTCTCTCTTAACCCCAATTTCTCATTGGTAAATAAGAAAAAACAAGATGGCAGTAAATATCCGGAACTGGTTTTGGAGAAAACCTTAGACCGGGAACAACAAAGTTTCCACCGTTTAGTCCTGACTGCCTTGGATGGCGGAAATCCACCCCAAAGCGGCAGTACTGAGCTTCGGATCCAGGTCACTGATGCCAATGATAATTCCCCTGTTTTCAAGCAGGAAGTGTACAGAGTCACCCTTCCGGAAAACGTACCTCCAGGCACCACTGTGCTGCAGGTGACCGCCACCGACCAGGATGAAGGCATCAATTCGGAAATAACTTATTCCTTCTACAGTGCTGGACAAGTCTTTGGTCTGAATCCAAAGAGCGGGGAAATTACAACTCAGAAGACAATAGATTTCGAAGAAATCAAAGAATATTCTATAGTGGTGGAAGGGCGGGATGGTGGAGGGCTGGTTGCACAATGTACAGTTGAAATTAACATTCAAGATGAAAATGACAACACCCCAGAAGTTACAGTACGTTCTCTACTCGAAATGATTCTGGAAAACTCAGTGCCTGGAACACTAATTGCTTTGATCAAAGTACATGACCAAGATTCTGGGGAAAATGGCGAGGTTAATTGTCGACTAGAAGGTAAAGTCCCCTTTAAAATCATCTCTTCATCCCAAAATTCGTATAAATTGGTAACAGACAGGGCCTTAGACCGAGAGCTGACCCCCGAGTACAATGTCACCATCATCGCCACCGACCGGGGCAAACCGCCCCTCTCCTCCAGTAAAAACATCACTCTACACATTGGTGACGTCAATGACAACGCTCCAGTTTTCCACCAAATGCCGTACTTGGTATATGTAGCAGAAAACAACCCGCCTGGAGCCTCCATAGCTCAAGTCAGTGCTTCTGACCCAGACCTGGGTCCCAACGGCCAAGTCTCCTACTCCATCGTAGCCAGTGACCTGGAGCCAAGGGCGCTGTCCTCCTACGTATCCGTGAGCGCTCTCAGCGGGGTGGTGTTCGCACAGCGCGCCTTCGACCACGAGCAGCTTCGCTCTTTCCAGCTGACACTGCAGGCCCGCGACCAGGGCTCACCCGCGCTCAGCACCAACGTGAGCCTGCGTGTGCTGGTGGGGGACCGCAATGACAACGCGCCAAGGGTGCTGTACCCCTCGCTGCAACCTGATGGCTCAGCGCTCTTCGATACGGTGCCGCGCGCCGCGGAGCCGGGCTACCTGATCACCAAAGTGGTAGCAGTAGATGCTGACTCGGGACATAATGCCTGGCTATCCTACCACGTGCTGCAGGCCAGCGATCCTGGTCTCTTCAGCTTAGGGTTACGCACCGGCGAGGTTCGCACCGCGCGGGCTATGGGCGACAAGGACGCCGCCCGCCACCGACTTCTGGTTGCTGTGCAAGATGGAGGTCATCCACCTCTTTCAGCCACCGCTACCTTGCACCTGGTTTTCGCCGACAGCCTGCAGGAGGTGCTGCCAGACCTCAGTGACAGTCCTGTGCCCTCTGATCCCCAGGCCGAGCTGCAGTTTTACTTGGTGGTAGCCTTGGCTTTGATTTCTGTGCTCTTCCTCCTCGCCGTGATTCTGGCGATTGCCCAGCGTCTGCGACCCTCTTCCAGCTCTGGTGCCTGGGGCTGCTTTCAACCTGGTCTGTGTTCCAGGTCTGCACCTGTGGTTCCCCCAAACTACAGCGAGGGAACTTTGCCCTATTCCTATAATCTGTGTGTTGCGCATATGGGAAAGACAGAGTTTAATTTCCTGAAATGTAGTGAGCAGTTGAATTCAGGACAAGACATTCTGTGCAGTGATTCATCTGGAGCCATGTTTCCACTTGGTAATTCCAGTGAATCGACTTCCCATCCTGAGACTCTAGTACCGGTGAGTTCCATTTAATTGTCTACTCCTTTTCTTCATCCACCCAATGCTCTACATTTACATGGAAATATAGTACATTTTAAGCTCTAACAAGCTGTCTTCAGGAAGTTATAATCGCTCTGAAAGCTATACTTCCATTCTTCATGGAGAGGGGTGAAATTTTTTTGTTTTGTTTTTGCTATACTGGTGTTTGAACTCAGGGCCTTCGCTTTGAACCACTGCACCAGTCCTTTTTTATGATGGGTATTTTTGAGATAGGGTCTGCAAACTATTTGCCCTGTCTGACTTGGAACTGTGATCCTCCTAATCTCTGCCACCTGAGTACCTAGGATTACAGGCATGAGCCACCAGTGCCAGGGAAGAGAGGGGTAAATTTTGAGTGGCTGTGTGACCTAAAATAGATTCCAGGGAAAGCAAAGAAGTTACAGATTTACAAAGTATTGAGAATGTATGCCCTCAGTTTAACAGCAAAATAAATGAACAATTTTTTTCTCCTTCTTAAAGCAAATTTACTCATTGATTTCCTGGCTTTTTGTTTTTGAGACAGGCTGTCTTACTATGTCATCCAGAGAGGCCTAGAACTTGACATCCTCTGGCCTCGGTCTCTCATGTGCTGGGATTACAAATGCTAACCACCATTGTTTCATATATATATACATATATTCTTTAACGTATAGTTTAAATTGTATTTAAACTTATGTAAATAAGTATCAAAATTTAATGTAGCTAATCATTTGATTCATTCGTTAAAGCAAAGAAACTGCTAGTAGGTTTCTTCCTTCACTGATTTTACCGATGGTTGCCATCTTTCTTGTGTTTATTCCTCATGTTTATTCCATTATTCTTACCTAATGGATTCATGATTCTTTTACTCACCTAAAAAGGTTGAAACAATACTATGTGTTTGTGTATATGAAGGAGACTCACCAAATTCATTACATACACATCATTAAGTTCTCTCTCATTTTCATGGATGCAAAATCCTAAAGAAAGAAAATGCTAGATGGTAGGGTACTACTTAATATGCTCCTATCCCTGGGTTCAATCCCCAGCACAGAAAAAGAAGAGCAGGAAAGAAAATGCTGTGTGTCTCTATGTCTCTTGCCCTGATTCCTCACATAGGCTCTCTGAGGAAGAAAGGGATAAAACGGCAATGGATTTGTCTTAAAATTTGGAGCCCTAAACATAACTAGATGGGAAAGAGAATTCTGAATTTTTCCATTTTATGGCAAAAATACTAGTCTAGTGTACATACAAAGCTGCCATTACACAGTGTAAGTCTTTTGCTGGAGAAGTGATATCATTAATGACTTTTTTTACAAATTGGTGAAAGTAATATTTTTATTACACCATTTACTTTTTAGTAGTAAACATTTGTTCTACATTTTATGTTCTTCTCCCTAATTATGTAAGTTTAAATGACCCTTAGAATGAGTTTAAAACTACTTTAAAATTGCATTATTTCGTTCTCCTCTTCCTTTTCTTTTTTTTTTAAGTGCTTGAGATTGAACCCATGACCCCATGCTAGGCAAACTCTTTCCACTGAGCGACACTCCAGTCTTTACTGGTCATGTAACTCAGTGGAAGAATTGCCTAGCATGCTTGAGGCTCTGGTTTCTATCCCCAGCACTGCAAAAAAACAAAAAAAAAAAAAGAAAAGCTTAATTTCTTGATGGAGGATTAAATTGGAAAGTTGATTTTTCCTGCATATTCATTTTAATTTTCCAAAATGTTACATCAAGTATTCACATAGAAAGCTAAACATTTCTGAAATAGCATGAAGTTTTAAATAACCACAGAAATGTGAGCTTTAAAAACCTTAATCCTGTTAAAATTAGCAATATTCAGTAAGAGATTTTATAACTATTGCCTAATTAAAATTATTTTTACAACTCAGAAATTTAAAAGAAATCTTTCTCAGGAAATTTACCATCAAAATAAATTAACCTTGTAAAATAATTTCAAAGTGAGTAATTATCCATATACTCATTCCATATACATCTGTAATATTCATTATATTAACTAAAGAATAAAATTAAGAAAAATATAAATATATTTCCAAAGAGATTATACATGATTACTTCTGAAAGTTGATAAAGACATATAGAAAACAAATGAAGCACCATAAAAAAGAAATAACAACTTACATGTCTGGAGAGAGTGTGTAGAATTCTACCAAAAAATAAAGTAAGTTAGGTTAATATTAAGCAAAAAAATCCGGTGATTTAATACAGAAATTTCGCTTCACGTCATCTACAGCTCAGATATCTGCAAGTGGTAATTGTCTTTGAAGTATAAATGCAACAATGAGAAAAATCTAAAATAAATCTAAAATAAAAAAATGTTGCATTATCTTCCTGGATGCTGTGGCAGTCGCGTGTAAGTACCTTCTTCTCAGGAGGCTGAGGCAGGAGGATTTCTTTAGCCCAAGCGTTTGAGACCTTAGTAATACTGTGAGACCCTGTCTTAAAAAGGGGTTGGGGGGAGAGAAAAAGTTAAGTATTTCAGTTGGTGTAGTAACGACTTAGAACTCTGAGCGCCGCTGTTCACCAACTCTTAAGAAAAACTCAGCGCTCCATTCGGATATTCAGATCTGCAACTACACAAAGCTCCGCATATCTCACAAACTGGCACCCAGGCTACAACAAAGCCTCTTAACTGGACACTCGGGCTTTTCTCTCCTAAGGAAAACGATCATCAGGCTTTATAGGAGGAAAAGAAGAGCATAATGAGTCCGAGAGTATTCTGAGGAAATTCTGTAGCAAAACAATGGCTGCTTCAACCAAACGTCAGCACTACGGTAGACTGGTCCTCTGTTGCGCGCTCCTGGGGACACTGTGGGAGGCCAGCGCCAGCCCGATCCACTACTCGGTGGCCGAAGAGAAAGAGAAGGGCTATATCGTGGGGAACATCTCCAAGGACCTGGGGTTGGAGCCCCGGGAGCTGGCGGAGCGCGGAGTCCGCATCGTCTCCAGAGGTAGGACGCAGCTTTTCTCTCTCAACCCGCGAGGCGGCAGCTTGGTCACCGCGGGCAGGATCGACCGGGAGGAGCTCTGCGCTCAGAGCGCACCTTGTCTGGTTATCTTTAAAATCCTGGTTGAAGACAGAGTAAAACTTTACGGAATAGAAATAGAAGTAACTGATATCAACGACAATGCCCCAAAATTTGGGGCTGAAAATCTGGAAGTAAAAATTAGCGAAATAGCAGCTCCGGGAGCACGTTATCCGCTTCCAGAAGCTGCTGATCCGGATGTGGGTGTGAACTCCCTCCAGGGCTACCAGCTCAGCCCCAGTCACCATTTCTCCCTGGACGTGCAGACTGCAGACGATGGAACTATAAACCCAGAGCTGGTGCTGGAGCGCGCCCTGGACCGAGAGGAAGAGGCGGTTCACCACCTGGTCCTCACTGCCACGGATGGAGGCGACCCGCGCCGCTCCAGCACAGTGCACATCCAGGTGACGGTGTTGGATACAAATGACAATGCCCCAGTTTTTGCTCAACCGATTTACCGAGTGAAAGTCCTTGAGAACGTGCCCCCAGGGACCCTGTTGCTTACAGTGAGAGCTAGCGACCTGGATGAGGGATCCAATGGAAAAGTGGTATATAAATTCCGGAAAATTAATGAAAAACAATCTTCATTATTCCAGCTTGATGAAAATACCGGCGAAATATCAGTAGCAAAGAGTCTAGATTATGAAGAATGTTCCTTATATGAAATGGAAATACAGGCTGAAGATGGCGGGGGATTGAAAGGGCGGACAAAAGTGGTAATTATGGTGGAAGATGTAAATGACAATAGACCTGAAGTGACCATTACGTCTCTGTTTAGCCCAGTGAGGGAAGATGCTCCTCCAGGTACTGTGATCCTTCTTTTCAATGCTCATGACCAAGACTCAGGAAAGAATGGTCAAGTTGTCTGTTCCATCCAGAAGAATCCATCATTTAAACTAGAAAATTCAGTAGACGATTATTACAGATTGTTGACAGCCCAAATACTTGATCGAGAAGAAGCGTCTGAGTATAACATCACTGTGATGGCTTCAGACAGAGGAATCCCATCCCTATCCACGGAAATTCACATCACCCTGCATGTGTCTGACATCAACGACAACCCACCTACCTTCTCTCAAGCCTCCTACTCAGTCTACCTCCCTGAAAACAACCCCAGAGGCACCTCCATCTTCTCAGTGACTGCCCATGACCCTGATAGCAATGAGAATGCTAGGATCATCTTCTCCTTGGTGGAGGACACCATCCAGGGGGCACCGCTATCCTCCTATGTCTCCATTAACTCTGACACTGGCGTGCTCTATGCACTGCAATCCTTTGACTATGAGCAGTTTCGTAATCTGCAAATGCAAGTGAAGGCAAGTGATAATGGGAACCCACCACTCAACAACAATGTGTCACTGAGTCTGTTCCTGCTGGATCAGAATGACAATGCTCCCAGGATCCTATACCCTGCCCTCCCAACAGATGGCTCCACAGGTGTGGAGCTGGCACCCCGCTCCGCAGAGCCTGGATACCTGGTTACCAAGGTGGTGGCAGTGGACAAAGACTCAGGACAAAATGCCTGGCTGTCCTACCGCCTGCTCAAAGCCAGTGAGCCAGGACTTTTCTTGGTGGGGCTGCACACAGGTGAGGTGCGCACAGCAAGGGCCCTGCAGGACAGAGATGCCCTCAAGCAGAGTCTCGTGGTAGCTGTGCAGGACCATGGCCAGCCTCCTCTCTCTGCCACTGTCACACTCACCATTGCTGTGGCAGACAGCATCCCTGATGTCCTGGCAGACTTGGGCAGCATTGAGACCCCCGCCCATCCTGAGGATTCAGACCTCACACTCTATCTGGTGGTAGCAGTAGCTGTGGTCTCCTGTGTGTTTCTGGCCTTTGTTCTTGTGCTGCTGGCGCTCAGGTTGCAGCGCTGGCATGCCTCACATCTACTGCAGTCTACAAGTGGCAGGTTGACTGGTGTACCCACCTCACACTTTGTGGGTATGGATGGGGTGCAGGCTTTCCTACAGACCTATTCCCAGGAGTTTTCCCTCACAGCTGACTCTGGGAAGAGCCACCTGATCTTCCCCCAGCCAAACTATGCAGACATGCTCATCAGTCAAGAGAGCTGTGAGAAAGCGAGCCTTTGGGTGGTTCAGTTGATTCCAGGTGTCCTATTGAAGACACTCCTTTGGTTCCTGTGAGTTCTATTTTTTCTTTATTATTTGTGACAATTAGCTTTCTAAGTAGTGTTCCTACTTCAGGTAGCATAAATTGATATGAATATATTTCTCACTTAAGTTTTCACTGAGCCTGTCCTTCACCCCCAACATCTAAAGGAGGGATTTATTAGTTACATCGTTGATACAAATTTCACTTTCTCATATCAACCTAATGTCAGTGGAAAACATTCAGCATTGGGCGACTTTCATTATCCTGAGTGGGTTGCTCGGTTGGTTACAATTCACTACTAACTCTCAATTGGATTTCTCTTCCTGAAGTATATTGATTATTGGTATCTCCAATCCTCCACTGTAAAATTCTTACTCCTAAAACCATTTCTACAGTGATACTGTTTTGTAGGGGCAAATTAATAACAAAGTAAATGCCTTTTTCTGAGAGGAACAACTGAAAACCCAGAGTTACTGCTTCCACTTGTCTATTTTTAGGACAGGAAAACACCCCCTTAAGCTGTTGTTTTTCAGATTGCAAGTTTATATTTGTATTTTAAAATCTTTTCAAGATACAAACTTCAACAATCCATTTCCAAACTCTAGCAAAGCATTTTTTCCCTTTGGTGGGTGAGAATTGTAGTATTCTTTATGATCATATCATCAAAGACTTGAATTTCCTAATTCTATAATGTCAGATTATAGAAATAGCATGACAGTCTTCTTTCCTACAGTATAAACTTGCTGTGGAGAAGTTGCTAAGATTGAACACCATGTAAGGACAAAATTAAGGGAATTAATTATTATTTCTGATTCAGTTTCCCAAACTTTAAGACTAGAAATGAACCTGGGTATGGGAATAAGTTAAGGAAATATTCTCAGGAGAAATGAGGGAGACTATAAAATATTTTAGTAGCTTTTAACTATCAGGAAAAGTAATGCATTATTTAATGTGATTTTAGACATAATATCAATTTTCAGGTAACAAATGACATTTCAGTCTGAAAATAAGCTTTGAAGTTGACTCAAAATTCTATTCTAAACATGTGATCCATAGGTATATTAATGACTAGTGGCATTTGTGTGGAAATAATGATTTTTGTCTTCATCATTCTTCAAATTTCTGTTGTTTTACTTATAAGAAAATAAGGTCTAATGTGTCTGGAAATCCATTATGCTATATATATACATTTTATATTTCAAACATTCTTTAATGGCGGGGGTTTGGCTCAATGGTAGCACACTTGTGCAAGGCCCCAGGTTCAAACTCCAGTATCACACACAAAACAAGTGTTTTTTCCTTAAGCGAGTAGGAAAAAAGTAAAGTATCTCTCAGGGTCATATTTTTAATGGTGCAGTAAGAAAAGTGTTATTTGAAATTTCTGTTTTGGGAAGCAATCTTTATACTTAGCATTTATAAATATTAAAATGTTTGTTAATTTGGGAAAAATATAATAACATACATACTGATGTATGGTAAATAGCTACTACTCTATACAACAAAAATATCACTAGCCTTTAAGACCAGAACACAAGGGTATCTGGATGGGTGACTGGGAAGTGTGTGAAAAATGCTGACTCCTAGTTTTCTTGAACTATGTAGGAGATATTGTACATCAGTGACAGATTATAGAACATAGAACTTAACGCCTTATCTTAAAGAAAAGGGTTGATTGAAATGCTACATTTTGGATTCACCTCAGAGCGGTTGGGGAGTACAGTATATACTAAAGGAAGATTGGCCTATTGTTGGCTGTTGTTGAAGCTGGTTTATCTGAATGTGAAGGTTCACAATATAATGCACAATACTCCCTGTTGCTAAGTTTGATATTATCCGTAATAAATTCTTTTTAAACACTATGTAAATACCTACTGTAATTCCATGGTGAGATTAAAATTTGCAGCTAATTCATGACTGCATTTTCAAAGAGCCATATACACATTTTGGAATAAAGATTTCCAAACAAGCCAGGCTGCAGTTCCACACGGAGCCTCTGGGCGCCGCTGTCGGCCAGTGCAGAGCAAGCGCCTACGCCCGGGATCCCTCAGCCTCTAGTCTGGAATTTCCTGCGCAGCCACCACCACACGCAGAAGGAAACCCGCTCACTCGCAGAGGCCACACACAAGGGTTTCCAGCCCCGACACTGGGCTGCGCTGATCCTGGACCCGAATGCTCTTCCGCTGCGGTAGACCGCACTGTCTCCAACCCTGAAGGCAGCGACCCGGTGAAAACCCGAGCGAGCCAGCGAGCCAGGGAGCGAGCCATGGGAGGGAGCTGCGCGCAGAAGCCCCGCACCCGCCGCGGCCAGGTACTGTTGCCCTTCCTGCTGCCTTTGTTCTATCCCGCGCTCTGCGAGCCCATCCGCTACTCCATTCCCGAGGAGCTGCCCAGGGGTTCGGTGGTGGGGAACCTCGCCAAGGACTTAGGGCTCAGCGTGCTGGATGTGGCGGCTCGGAAGCTGCGAGTTAGCGCAGAGAAGCTGCACTTCAGCGTGGACGCGGACAGCGGGGACTTACTTGTGAAGGACCGTATAGACCGCGAGCAGATATGCAAAACGAGAAGAAGATGTGAGTTGCAGTTGGAAGCCGTGGTGGAAAACCCTTTAAATATTTTTCATATCGTTGTGATGATTGAGGATATTAATGACCATGCTCCTCAATTCGATAAAAAGGAAATACATTTAGAAATTATTGAATCTGTATCCGTTGGTGCCCGAATATCCCTTGACCCTGCTACTGACCCCGACATAAATTTAAACTCAATTAAAGACTATCAGATAAGCCCTAACCCTTATTTCTCATTGATGGTTAGAGTGAATTCCGATGGTGGCAAATTTCCAGAGTTATCTCTCGAGAAACCCCTAGACAGGGAAGAACAGAGCTCTCATCGCTTGATACTGACTGCGTTGGACGGAGGGGACCCTCCACGAAGTGCCACCACTCAAATAGAAATATTTATAAAGGACACCAATGACAACTCCCCGGTGTTCAGCAAAGATGAATACAGAATCAGTGTGAGTGAGAGTTTACCCCCAGGATCCCTGGTGTTGCAAGTAACAGCCACTGATAAGGATGAGGGGATCAATGCAGAGATAAACTACTACTTCCGAAGCACTGCCCAGAGCACAAGACACATGTTCTCATTGGATGAGAAAACAGGTATGATTACTAATAACCAGTCATTGGATTATGAAGATGTAGAACGATACACTATGGAAGTGGAAGCCAAGGATGGAGGTGGTCTTTCTACCCAGTGTAAGGTCGTCATAGAAATCCTAGATGAAAACGACAACAGCCCAGAAATAATCATCACTTCTCTTTCTGATGAGATTTTGGAGGATTCTCCTCCAGGAATGGTTATTGCCCTCTTCAAAACGCGGGACCGGGATTTCGGAGGAAATGGAGAAGTCAAGTGTGATATAGAAAGAGACCTTCCTTTCAAGATCTATTCTTCTTCTAATAATTATTACAAGTTAGTGACAGATAGAACTTTAGACCGAGAGCAGGACCCAGAGTACAATGTCACCATCACCGCCACGGACAAAGGCAAACCGCCCCTTTCTTCCAGGACAGTTATCACCCTTCACATCACTGACGTCAATGATAATCCTCCAGTTTTCAACCAGGCCTCTTACATGGTCCATGTGGCTGAAAACAACCCTCCTGGAGCCTCCATCGCGCAAGTTAGCGCCTCTGACCCGGACCTCGGACCTAATGGTCAAGTCTCCTACTCCATCGTAGCCAGTGACCTGGAGCCAAGGGCGCTGTCCTCCTACGTATCCGTGAGCGCTCTCAGCGGGGTGGTGTTCGCACAGCGCGCCTTCGACCACGAGCAGCTTCGCTCCTTCCTACTGACGCTGCAGGCCCGCGACCAGGGCTCACCCGCGCTCAGCACCAACGTGAGCCTGCGTGTGTTGGTGGGGGACCGCAATGACAACGCGCCTAGAGTGCTGTATCCTGCGCTGGGGCCCGATGGCTCCGCGCTCTTCGATATGGTGCCACGCGCCGCAGAGCCCGGCTACCTAATCACAAAAGTGGTGGCAGTAGATGCTGACTCGGGACACAATGCCTGGCTGTCCTACCACGTGCTGCAGGCCAGCGATCCCGGGCTCTTCAGCCTAGGGCTACGCACCGGCGAGGTGCGCACTGCGCGTGCCCTGGGCGACAAGGACGCTGCCCGCCAGCGCCTTCTAGTAACTGTTAAAGACGGTGGGGTACCACCCCTTTCAGCTACCGCCACGCTGCTTCTGGTATTCGCCGATAGCCTGCAGGAGGCACTGCCAGACCTCACCGATCATTCTGTCCCCTCTGACCCCCAGGCTGAGCTGCAGTTTTACCTTGTAGTGGCCTTAGCCTTTATTTCTGTGCTCTTCCTCCTCGCTGTGACTCTAGCCATCGCCCTTCGCCTGCGACACTCCTCCAGTCGGGCTTCCTGGGGCTGCTTGCAGTCTGGTCTCTGTTCTAAGAGTAGACCAGGGGTTTCTCTCGACTACACCCAGGGGACTTTGCCTTATTCCTATAATCTGTGCGTTGCGCAAACCGGAAAAGCAGAGTTAAATTTCCTAAAATGTAGTGCGCCCTTGCATTCCACTCAAGACGTAGTTTGCAGTAGTTCTTCTGGGGCCTTAGTTCACGTTGGGGATGAATTGACTTCACATCCTGAGACTCTAACACTGGTAAGTTTCATTTTTTATGTCTTAATATCCTAGTTTCTCCTATTTCAGGCATATGACTTTATTTTCACATCTAGGGTCATAATTGAAAAACGCATAGCTAATTACTATCTTGTCTTCTCAGTGTTATTTGTCAGTTTTATTTTCCAAGGCTTAATTGGTTCATAAGTTGCTGTTTCATATGGTGAAAAAGTGTTAAATTGGAGGTATCTTGTCAAGCTCTGACTAGCAAACAGAAGCAGTACTCTTGGTCTCTAACCAAATAAATGTGCTATCTATTCAATTGGGTAATACTTACAATGAGTTTTCCACACCTTTTTGTATGTTTTTAATGCTTAAAATTATTCCAGCCTGCATTAACTATCAAAACAGGTACTCCTTTTCAAAAATCAATTTATTGCAAATAATCTCTTGGGTGCCTTTTGGTATCTCTCTTCACTAATTTTCATAATTTTTCCAATTGTAAGCATCTAAGAAGGATAGCCAGCAGATCTGTGGACTCTCTGAAACTGTCCACAAAATTATAGATATATCCATTTGTGTGGGAGAGGACTCAGAGCTTTGTTCATATTTCTAAAGAATTTATGGTCCCCTAAAACCCTAGATGGGTTTCTCTCTTCTCGTTTTGATCTTTCTGGCTTCTTCCACATTTGTGGTTCTTACTTTTTCTTTGAGCTCAAATTGTATTTCTTCTCAATCTCTTTTCTTCTACATATAAAGATAGATGTCCAAGACAGCAAAGGAAATACTATTGCCTTTTTGTTTTTAGTCTCTTTCTCTGATTTAAGATCTTTGAACAAAAAAGATAAAATCTTTGGTCTATAATAGTGGCACATGCCTGTAATTCCAACACTCCACAGGGGGAGGCAGGAAGATCAAGTGTTGCAAGCCAGCCTGGGCTACAAATGAGAGCCCTGTTTCCTGTTCTCTGTGTGGAAGAAATAAGCCTCTCTGCCCTTCACAACTGAGAGAGAACAGCAGTGGGTGGCTGACAACTGAAAATGTGTGAATCACTTTCTTTGGGCTTCCATACATACTGCCTAAGAGAAGAGATTATAGTGTCATCAATGCCAATATGAAATTGATCATTTGACATAAAAAATTATTTGTTAAAAACCCTCCATCAATGTTGGAGATGTAGCTCAGTGGTAGAGTGCTTGCCTAGCAAGGGGCGAGGGACGAAACGAAAAACTAACATCACAAATCTTTGCTTCTAAATTTTTTTTGGTGCTTGAAATGCTTGTAGATATTTCTCGTACAACACATTTTAGTAAGCAACCATGGTATATGTTCCTTTTAGTTTGTAATTGCCTGCTTAATTCATTTAAATAGGTTCTATTAACTTCTCAATAATATATGCCTATTAAGAAAAGATTTATTTTTCAAAAAGATTCATTAAGCCTCAATAAAACTATTCTAGAATAGAATATTTCAACAATCTAGCACAATTTTAAGCTAAACAAATAAATCTAAAATAAAAAACCTTTTAAAATGAATTATGTCATAAGGAGTATAAAAAGTCTATACGAATGTATACTAAATGATGTAGACCATTTAAATCACAATTTCAAATAAAACTGTAAGACTTCTGAATATAGCTAGAATCTCGTAAGACATAAGCATTATTTATGTTTTAAAGTGGGTACATTCCTGTTAGGAAAGTGTGCCAAACATTATCATTTGATGTGTTATAGTATTTTCATTCCACTTTATCTCACTCTCCAGTAGGAAACCTACAAATAGGGGTTGATTAAAGATATGAGCTGGGCAGGGGTACGGATGTAGCTCAGTGTTGGAGCTCTTGTCTAGCTTGCGCGATGTCCTCCCACCAAAAAAAAAAATGTGATCAGAGAATTAAGTAAACTGAAATAATCCAACAGAGATAGTTGCCTTGCTAGGATCCTCTGTAGTGGGTGCAGTAACTTCTTAGGACTCTGAGCGCCGCTGTTCACCTACTAGGAAAGAAATGCAGCGAGAGCTCAGTCCTGCTGATCAGGACTCCAACTGCACAAAGCCCCACAGTTCCTCCAAATCGGCTTCTGGGCTGCTACGAAACTTATACCGGAATTTAAGGTGCTCAAGCTACAGAGAATTCCTCCTGCAGCCACAGAAAGAAAAAGGAACCAGTTGAAATACATAACGTGTCCAGGGAAGATTTGGGGAGAATTCCGTGACCAGAAAACAATGGCCGCTCCAAGCAGTTTCCCCGACTGCACCAAACTGGTTGTCTTCAGCCTTTTCCTGTGGATGCCCTGGGAATCCAGAGCCCGGCAGATCCGCTACTCCGTTCCAGAGGAGCTGGACAAAGGCTCCTTCGTGGGGAACATCTCCAAGGACCTGGGGTTGGAGCCCCGGGAGCTGGCGGAGCGCGGAGTCCGCATCGTCTCCAGAGGTAGGACGCAGCTTTTCTCTCTCAACCCGCGAGGCGGCAGCTTGGTCACCGCGGGCAGGATCGACCGGGAGGAGCTCTGCGCTCAGAGGCCGCGGTGTCTGGTGAGTTTTAACATCCTTGTAGAAGATCGGGTGAAACTTTTCGGGATAGAAATAGAAGTAACTGATGTCAATGATAATGCCCCAAAATTCCAAGCAGAAAATCTAGACGTTAAAATTAATGAAAACGTCGCTCCAGGGATGCGTTTTCCTCTCCCGGAAGCTATTGATCCGGATGTGGGCGTGAACTCCCTACAGAGCTACCAGCTTAGTCCGAATAAGCACTTCTCCCTAGAAGTTCAGAGCGGCGCCAGTGGCGTCAAATACCCCGAGCTGGTGCTGGAGCGTGCCCTAGATCGCGAGGAAGAGTCCGTTCATCACCTGGTTCTCACCGCCTCTGACGGGGGTAACCCGTCCCTATCTGGTACTGTCCTCATCACTGTGACAGTCTTCGATGCAAATGACAATGCACCAATCTTCACCCTGCCTGAATACCGAGTGAATGTCCCGGAGAACTTACCTATAGGCACTCAACTGCTAACGGTCATTGCCACCGACAAGGATGAAGGAGCCAATGGAGAAGTGACCTATTCATTCCGAAAATTACTTGACAAGCAACTGTTGAAATTCCAACTAAACAAAAATACTGGGGAAATAAAAATATCCGAAAATCTAGATTATGAAGAAACAGGTTTCTATGAATTAGAAATACAAGCAGAAGATGGAGAGCATATCTTGCAACTGCAAAGGTAATGATTACAGTAGAAGATGTAAATGACAACAGCCCAGAGGTGACCATCACGTCTCTCTTTAGTCCAGTGGCGGAAAATTCACCTCTGGGAACTGTCATAGCCCTATTAAATGTGCACGATTTAGACGCTGGGCAGAATGGAGCAGTAACTTGTTCCATCTCAGGGAGTTTACCATTTAAGTTAGAAAAGTCCATTGACAGTTATTATAGACTGGTGACACACAGAGCCCTTGACAGGGAACAGGTTTCTTCTTACAACATCACAATAACAGCCACAGATGGTGGAAATCCCCCTCTATCAACGGAAACTCACTTCACCCTGCAGGTGTCAGATATCAATGACAACCCACCCACCTTCTCCCACAACTCCTACATTACCTATATCCCAGAGAACAACGCCAGGGGTGCCTCCATCTTCCTAGTTACAGCCCTCGATCCAGATAGCAAAGAGAATGCCCAGGTTATTTACTCTCTGGCTGAAGATACCATCCAGGGAGCACCATTATCCTCCTACGTATCAATCAATTCAGACACTGGCATCCTGTACGCACTCCGATCTTTCGACTATGAGCAGTTGCGTCAAATGCAGATGCAGGTGACTGCCAGCGACAGCGGGAACCCTCCCCTCAGCAGTAACGTGTCTCTGACCCTGTTCGTATTGGATCAGAACGACAACACCCCAGAGATCTTGTACCCTGCCCTCCCCACAGATGGCTCAACTGGCCTGGAGCTGGCTCCCCGCTCTGCAGAGCCTGGATACCTGGTGACCAAAGTGGTGGCAGTGGACAGAGACTCAGGACAAAACGCATGGCTGTCCTACCGCCTGCTCAAGGCCAGTGAGCCTGGGCTCTTCACAGTGGGTCTGCACACAGGTGAGGTGCGAACAGCAAGGTCCCTGCTAGACAGAGATGCTCTCAAGCAGAGTCTACTAGTGGCTGTGCAAGACCACGGCCACCCCCCTCTCTCAGCCACCATCACACTCACCATCGCGGTGGCTGACAGCATTCCTCAAGTCCTGGCAGACCTGGGCAGCATCAAGACCCCCGCCGATCCTGAGGATTCAGACCTCACGCTCTACCTGGTAGTGGCGGTGGCTGTGGTCTCCTGTGTCTTTCTCGCCTTTATCATCGTGCTGCTGGCGCTCAGGCTGCGGCGCTGGCACGTGTCGCGCCTGCTCCAGGCTTCTGGAGACGCATTGGCCGGCGCGCCCGCCTCTCACTTTGTGGGCGTGGACGGGGTGCGCGCTTTCCTGCAGACCTATTCCCATGAGGTGTCGCTCACCGCGGACTCTCGGAAGAGTCACCTGATCTTCCCGCAGCCCAACTATGCGGACACTCTCATCAGCCAGGAGAGCTGTGAGAACAAGGATCCTTTGTCTTTGTTAGATGATTCGAAGTTTCCTTTAGAAGATCCCCGTTTGGCTCCAGTGAGTTCCATTTTTGCTTTTTCTTTAAACAAGTAGCTTTATCTTTAGGTTTGCGGTATGGTCATGGAAAATTTAAATCTGTATTTAAAATCACTTTTTTCTCAGTTTCAGTGACACCTCTTGCTAAAACATTGAAGAGTAGAATTTGGTGATTAAGGCTGACTTTTAAAAACCTTTCTGATAAAATTGCCCTAGTTCTAATGAAAGTTTATTGTGATAAGGTTGTTATAATTAGCTTTGCAGAACCTTTTTATTACGTAGTGTTGTTGAGTACAGTACTGACAATTCCTAAGAGAGCTTCTTGTGGGGGGGAGGGGAGGCAGTATGCGGAGGGGGGTACAGTCAGGGCCTTGCTCTTCGCAAGCGCTCTACCACTTAAGTCACTCGGTCGACCCTCCTAAGAGACACTTTTCATACAAAAGTATCTGCGGATTTGTATTTTCTCCTATGTGGTTATATGCTAAAGCTCTAGCCCTTTGGACAACCTGACTACTTCTTTCCAAGGTAGGTCTGATAAAAATAGGTAACTGTCAGAAACAAATGCGTTAGCCTTGCTGGAAACACACCCTAAGCCCAAGGTTGCTCACTGCTGTTCTTTCCAAGGAGATGTGCAATGTGCCTTAGCAATTGATTTTTCCAAACTGTGCTTTGTAATTGAATACACTTCCTAGAAATTTAAATTTTTCATTATTACTCACTTAACAATTCATAACAATATGTGCTTACACTTTTCCAGTTGTAATAATACCTATAAACTCTGCAGCTTCTTTTTTACATATGATTATCTAATTTCATACTGCAGCATGGAAGATACGCCTTTTTAATTTGACTCCTTGCTCAACAAGGATTCAAAAGACTCTACACCACAAGGTTAAATTGAGGAGATTTGGGATTCTGTTCTCTTTGTCTTTTAAAAATTAAATACTCCAATCACTTAGGGTTAAAAATAAGTATGGATTGGGAAGAGAAATAGATTTGTGCCTGTTCCCAAGAAGAGGGGTAAGAGATGAATGGCAAAAAATACTTCACAAGCTCCTTAATGTAGAGGAAGGAAAAGCCCACCTGAAACTCTGGAGATGTTGAAATTGAAACTCAAACTCAGAGTGAAAAAAGAATGCCAGCTCTGCAGGAGATCAGAATATAAGGAAGGAAGCACACAAAACTCTAACCAAATCATCAGTGGAGGTATTAATGTGGACATTTAGTTCGCTGATGACCAGTGGCAGTGGTAGTGATGTTTTTGGTTAGATCTTTTGATTTGTTATTAACACTCTACTCAACTTGGTAACATAAGGTCACAAAGTGCTCTACAGTGTATTCAAAAACTTAGGAGACCATGAGTCTTTCCTGTCAATCAGCATTTGATTAATTGTAGGTCTGTAAGGTGAGCATGCGCTGGAAGGGTATGATCGTCATTAAATTTCTGTCTATGATGCCAGCGCGGGTGGCTCACTGCAGTGATGGAGGATTGTGATTCCAAGTCAGCACGGGCAAATAGTTCCCTGAGACCCTATATTGAAAAACCCCTCACAAAAATAGAGCTGGTGGAGTGGCTCAATGTGAAGGCCCTGAGTTCAAGCCCCAGTACTGCCAAAAAAAAAAAATTTGTCTATGACAGTCAAAATTATGTTTACATCTCAAATAATTATTGGAAAACACAGGTTTATAAAGCACTCTTTTGACATTGTAGCTATTATAAGCAAATGTTTGTGAATATAGTCATTTAAAAAGCAATACAGAATATCATGATGATTGTCTGAGTAGGGAAAGTCTCATAGCACTACCTAAATATGGACAGAAGGGTTATTACTTTCTAACTGAATATAGCATATGAAAACTTGGCATATGAAAATATACAATAGTTTTTATGAAAAATGTTCCATGATGAAAACGGAATCACTCAGAAATAAGATTCGAATATTTTGGCTGTCAATGTGTACTTAAAAAAAAAAATCCCCAAAGATAGAAAAGTCATACTGCAGTTCCACATGGAGCCTCTGGGCGCCGCTGTCGGCCAGTGCAGAGCAAGCGCCTACGCCCGGGATCCCTCAGCCTCTAGTCTGGAATTTCCTGCGCAGCCACCACCACAGGCAGAAGGAAACCCGCTCACTCACAGAGGCCACACACAAGGGTTTCCAGCCCCGACACTGGGCTGCGCTGATCCTGGACCCGAATGCTCTTCCGCTGCGGTAGACCGCACTGTCTCCAACCCTGAAGGCGGCGACCCGGTGAAAACCCGAGCGAGCCAGCGAGCCAGGGAGCGAGCCATGGGAGGGAGCTGCGCGCAGAGGCCCCGCACCCGCCGCGGCCAGGTACTGTTGCCCTTCCTGCTGCCTTTGTTCTATCCCGCGCTCTGCGAGCCCATCCGCTACTCCATTCCCGAGGAGCTGCCCAGGGGTTCGGTGGTGGGGAACCTCGCCAAGGACTTAGGGCTCAGCGTGCTGGATGTGGCGGCTCGGAAGCTGCGAGTTAGCGCAGAGAAGCTGCACTTCAGCGTGGACGCGGACAGCGGGGACTTACTTGTGAAGGACCGTATAGACCGCGAGCAGATATGCAAAACGAGAAGAAGATGTGAGTTGCAGTTGGAAGCCGTGGTGGAAAACCCTTTAAATATTTTTCATATCGTTGTGATGATTGAGGATATTAATGACCATGCACCTCAATTCCATAAAGATGAAATAAGCTTAGAAATAAGTGAATCTGTCAACCCGGGGATGGGAACAATTCTTGAGTCTGCAAAAGACCCCGATATTGGTATGAATTCACTGAGCAAATACCAGCTAAGTCCTAATGAGTATTTCTCATTGGTATTGAAAGACAATCCTGATCGTGGCAAATATCCAGAATTGGTATTGCAGAAGACGCTGGACCGAGAAACACAGAGCTCTCACCACTTGGTGCTGACAGCCTTAGACGGTGGGGACCCGCCACTAAGCGGTACCACTCAGATCAGAATCCTAGTGGTGGATGCCAACGATAACCCCCCAGTGTTTAGCCAGGACGTGTACAGAGTCAGTCTTCGCGAAAACGTGCCCCCAGGCACCTCCGTCCTACGAGTGAGCGCCACAGACCAGGATGAAGGCATCAATGCAGAATTCACCTACTCCTTCGTTGGTGCACCTGACAAAGCCCAGCACGTGTTCTCTCTAAATTCTGTTACAGGAAGCATCTTAACTCAACAGCCCTTGGACTTTGAAGAAGTAGAAAGATACACTTTAGATGTAGAAGTAAAGGACAGAGGATCTCTCTCCTCCCAGTGTAAAGTAATTATAAAAGTTCTAGACGAAAACGACAACAGCCCAGAAATAATCATCACTTCTCTTTCTGATCAGATTTTGGAGAACTCCCCTTCTGGAATGGTTGTGGCCCTTTTCAAAACACGGGACCGAGATTCTGGGGAAAACGCAGAAGTCGCGTGTAGTTTAAGTAATGACAGTCCATTTAAGATTCATTCTTCTTCCAATAATTACTACAAGCTAGTAACAGATAAGACATTGGACCGGGAACAGACTCCAGAGTACAATATTACTATCACAGCGACCGACAGGGGTTTGTCGCCCCTCTCCTCCAGCACAACCATCACATTGCACATCACCGACGTCAACGACAACGCGCCTGTTTTCCACCAGTCTTCCTACCTGGTCCACGTACTAGAAAACAACCAGCCCGGTGCCTCCATAACCCAGATCGCAGCGTGGGATCCAGATCTCGGACCCAATGGCCAAGTCTCCTACTCCATCATAGCCAGTGACCTGGAGCCAAGGGCGCTGTCATCCTACGTGTCCGTGGGCGCGCACAGCGGGGTGGTGTTCGCTCAGCGAGCCTTTGACCACGAGCAGCTTCGCTCTTTCCTGCTGACGCTGCAGGCCCGCGACCAGGGCTCCCCCGCGCTCAGCACCAACGTGAGCCTGCGCTTGATGGTGGACGACCGCAATGACAACGCGCCTAGGGTGCTGTACCCCTCGTTGGAGCCTGATGGCTCCGCGCTCTTCGACACAGTGCCACGCGCCGCGCAGCCGGGCTACCTGATCACCAAAGTGGTGGCAGTGGACGCTGACTCGGGACACAATGCCTGGCTGTCCTACCACGTGCTGCAGGCCAGCGATTCCGGGCTTTTCAGCCTGGGACTCCGCACTGGCGAGGTTCGCATGGCTCGTGCCTTGGGCGACCGAGATGCAACTCGCCAGCGCCTTCTGATCGCGGTGCGTGATGGTGGACAACCGCCTCTCTCTGCTACAGCCACGCTGCTTCTAGTCTTTGCTGACAGCCTGCAAGAGGCGCTACCGGACCTCAGTGATCATCCTATTCCTTCTGACCCCCAGGCTGAGTTGCAGTTTTACCTGGTTGTGGCCTTGGCTTTGATCTCAGTGCTTTTCCTCCTCGCAGTGATTCTGGCCATTGCTCTGCGCTTGCGTCAGTCTTCCAGCTCCGCAGCCAAGGGCTGCTATGGATCGGTTTTCACATCCAAGTCTGGACCAGTGCTTCCCAACTACAGTGAGGGAACGTTGCCCTATGCATATAATTTGTGCGTACCGGGGACTCAAACTAATGCAGAATTTAATTTTCTTACATCTATTGATGATTGTCCAGTCACGCAAGATATTCTCAACAAAGATAACTCTTCAGCTCTATTGGCTAGCATTTTAACTCCTAGTGTTGAAGCAGACAAGGCGTTTAACCAGGTATTTAATGCTTTTTATATTCCAATATGCCAATGTATGTTATTTTAAATTTTAAGATTTCAGGTAATCTTTTTATAAAGATTCTAGGATTAATCTAGGTCAAACCTTTAAACCTGTTAAAATATTAGTTTTGTAAGAGTGGTTGCCTTGCTTGGGAGAAGCCCTGAGTTCTTTCGTAGCACCACGTACACACACAAATTGCAATGCATCAATCCTCCTACTATACAAAGACATTTTAAAATAAAAACCTTGAGGGCTGAGGGCATAGCTCAGTGGTAGTGTATAGTGTTTAGCATGCTCAAGGTCAAGGTCTGGGTTCCATCTCCTGCAAAACACACCCCACACACACACATACACACGAATTCTCAGGTGAAATTTTCATTAAAATATCTTTTAGTCAAGGATACGAAATGCAATTATATTTTTATTGTCATGTGTAAAAGACAATCTTAAAGCTATTCAAGTTTTATCAAACATTTTGTCTTTATTTTACTCATTTGAAAATGGTAAGAATTATAGTTATGTATCCTACCTGATGATCTTGTCTGGACCATTCTGCTTCCACATCCACAAATGCCAGCTCTCTTCAGTCAGTAAAAATCAATTAAAACCAAGTCGAACCTTCAAGTTTTCAGTTCCAGAAGTATTCTTTAATTTTTTAAAATTAAGCAAGCCCTTTTAATAATCGCTCCTTTCATAAGTGATCCTGGTAAAGTTTCAATATCACACTTAATAAGTATTGAGATTTTTTAGATTTACGTATATGTGTGATTCACGACAAAGGGTAAGTAATAATTTCTTCTGGAGCCAATTTACCAGTTTTTCTTAGTGGTTGCAACAATAAGATTGGGCTCTAGGCGCCGCTGTTCACCAATAAGGGAATGGGAGATCGCGAGGTATTGAGTCCCTCTGCAACCTCTATTACACAAAGCAGAATGAGATGAATACTCACACATACTGGTGCTGAAAACAAAAGCACTTTATTTCGCTTTCTAATATATTTTGGATGCTGAAGGCCTGGAACCTCACTGATACATAGGCTTATTGAGAACAAATCGGCTCAAGACAACACGGAGTATCGGCTCAGACCCTGCCATGGCGAATCCGCCACAGCGCCTGGACCGCAGCGGGCTGATCCTGCTTTTCATTTTCCTGGGGACACTGCGAGAGTTTGGGACTGGGCAGATCCGATACTCTGTGCGAGAAGAGACAGAAAAAGGCTACTTCGTGGGCAACATTTCCAAGGACCTGGGGCTGGAGCCCCGGGAGCTGGCGGAGCGCGGAGTCCGTATCGTCTCCAAAGGAAAAACGCAGCTTTTCGATCTGAATCCAGGAGGCGGCAGCTTGGTCACCGCGGGTAGGATAGATCGGGAGGAGCTCTGTGAGAAGGTGTCCTCCTGCTTTTTAAATATGGAGATTCTTGTGGAGGATACCCTGAAGATTTATGGGGTGGAGGTAGAAATAATGGATATTAATGACAACGCCCCCGGCTTCCGGGAAGAGGATGTAGAGATAAAAGTCAGTGAGCACGCCTCTCCTGGATCGCGATTTCCTCTCCCGAACGCTAGGGATCCAGATGTGGGGGTCAACTCTCTCCACAGCTACCAGCTTAGCCCTAATAGTTACTTTTCTTTGCAAGTGCGAGGCGGAACTGATGGAATCAAGAATCCGGAGCTAGTGCTGGAGGGAGGCCTGGACCGGGAGAAAGAGGCGTCTCACCTTCTCATCCTCACTGCCTTAGATGGAGGAGATCCTATCCTCAAGGGCAGTGTTCCCATTCGCGTGGTGGTCCTCGATGTAAATGACCACATCCCAAAATTTACACAGTCTGTGTATCGAGCGAGTGTTCCCGAAAACCTCAGCTCTGGAACGCGGGTTCTTGTAGTAAACGCAACGGATCCAGATGAGGGGACCAATGGGGAAGTGATGTATTCATTCCGGAATGTAGAAAATAAAGCTTCTGAAATGTTCCAGTTGAATCCTCAAACTGGAGAAGTTCTAGTACAAAGTCCTCTGGATTTTGAAAAATACAGACTCTATGACATGGAAATTCAAGGCCAAGATGGTGGCGGTCTTTCCACCACCGCTAAGATGTTGATTACAATTGTGGATGTGAATGACAATGCTCCAGAAATAACTATCACCTCTTCTATTACCTCAGTGCTGGAAAACTCTCCTCCAGGTACAGTAATTGCTCTTCTAAACGTGCAGGATCAAGATTCTGGAGAAAATGGTCAGGTCTTCTGTTTCATTCCTGACAATCTTCCTTTTAAATTAGAGAAGACTTATGGAAATTATTATAAGTTGGTAACAAACAGCGAGCTGGACAGAGAGCAGGTCGAGAGCTACAATATAACACTGACAGCCAAAGACCAGGGAAATCCACCCTTGTCTACAGAAATTCACCTGTTGTTGAATGTGGCAGATGACAATGATAATCCCCCAGTTTTCACCCAGGCCTCTTATTCTGCCTACATTCCTGAAAACAACCCCAGAGGAGCCTCTATCTTTTCAGTGACTGCTCTGGACCAGGATAGCAAAGATAATGCCCAGGTCACTTACTCCCTGACAGAAGACATGATCCAGGGGGCACCTCTGTCCTCTTATGTATCTATCAATTCAGACACCGGGGTCTTATATGCTCTGCAATCCTTCGACTATGAACAGTTTCAAAACCTACATCTGGGAGTGACTGCGCATGACAGTGGGGACCCACCACTCACCAGCAATGTTTCACTAACCCTTTTCATCCTGGATCAAAATGACAACACCCCAGAGATCCTGTACCCGGCCCTCCCCACTGATGGCTCCACTGGTGTGGAGCTGGCACCCCGCTCTGTAGAGCCTGGTTATCTGGTGACCAAAGTGGTGGCAGTGGATAGAGACTCAGGACAGAATGCCTGGCTGTCCTACCGCCTGCTCAAGACCAGCGAACCAGGGCTGTTCTCTGTGGGGCTGCACACGGGTGAGGTGCGCACTGCACGAACCCTGCTGGACAGAGATGCCCTCAAGCAGAGCCTCGTGGTGGCTGTGCAAGACCACGGACAACCTCCCCTCTCAGCCACCATCACGCTCACTGTGGCAGTGGCGGACAGCATCCCAGACGTCCTGGCGGACCTGGGCAATCTGGAATCTCCTGCCAGCCCTAATGAGTCAGGCCTCACGCTCTACTTAGTTGTGGCCATCACGGCGGTCTCCTGCGTCTTCCTCCTCTTTGTCATCGTGCTCCTGGCTCTCAGACTTCGGCGTTGGCACTCATCGCGCCTGCTCCAGGCTGCGGGTGGGTTAGCAGGTGTGACAACTAACAACTTTGTGGGCGTGGATGGGGTGCGCGCTTTCCTGCAGACCTATTCCCATGAGGTTTGCCTCACCTCGGATTCGCGGAAGAGTCACCTGATCTTTCCACAGCCCAACTATGCTGACACGCTCATCAGTCAGGAGAGCTGTGAGAAAAGCGAGCCTCTCCTGATAGCTGAAGACTCAGCTAACATTTTAGGCAAATGTGACCCGACAGATAATCAGGTAGGACTTACTTCTCTGTCTCCCAACTATTGCTGTCCTAGCACAAGTCTTTTAAAGGGATTTTTGCTGAGCTGATTTGGGGCGGGCATTGTTAGTTCATACATACTTAGAACAATACATGTGTACTTTACCTTTCATCAGATTATCATCGTTTTTCGGATAGGTTTTCTGAAAGTCTTTTTTTTTTTTCATTCCGAGCATATTTTCTTTAAATTTCAAAGGGCCATTTCAACTATCTTGGCTTGCTTTGTAGTAAGTTCAATTTTAGTATTATTTTTCTATTTCTGTTGGTGGCTATCAATGTAAACTTAATGATTCAAGGTAATGACTCCTAAACATTTTTTATTTCAATTTCTCAGCATCTCCTCTGATTTATGGTTATATTCTACCATTATTTGCTATTGCTTCTGTTGTTCAAAATTAACCTTGTTGATTCAATAGCCTACTCTCTCTAGCTCTTTCTCATTTATCTGTCTATATACACATATACTTACACATAAAATGTTTTTTCTGAGCATGAAACAATACTATTTTGCTTTTTGTGGCTGATAATACATTTTGATCCTGTTGACTATTTCAGCTTGTTCCATTGCTTCATCCTATCAAAAACAGACATGTTGACTAGGCTTTAATTATGGGTCTTCCTTGAAAGAGGAATTTTAGAGTGCTTTTTTATCTTAAGAGCCAGGTATCTTTTCTATTACTACAGAAGTGAAGTCATTTGATTGTTCTGAAGACATAATTGAGTTGTTCAACTACTGTTGTTTCCTTTTTTTTTTACTTTAACATCCATATAGAAGTTTTTTAAATAGAAATAAGTTTGATTCAGTGCTTCTCAAAAAGTTCTTTTCAATTCTGCTAAAGATGCTTACACTTTTCTGTTTATTCGTACAGAATAGTTTGTGAATATAAGATAAGGGGTAGGTTTTTAGACTTCACAAGAGACTGATTAAGGAATAAGGATGTATATGGTTCACTGGTAGAGCATGTGCTTAGCATGCACAGGCCCTCAGTTCAATCCAGCATCCTCCCCAAAAACACTGATTTAGCTGGTATTCCAGTAGGTGTTTTTTATTCATTTTCAGTCTATCTAGAAATCTGAGTCAAAGAATCTTCTGTTCTTTCATAGTGCATTTTATATTACCTACAAATATACTTGATTACAGTATTTAGAAACTTGTTATAGTTGTCTATTGACTTGCATGTTATCTGGAACAAGGTCTGTGAAAACCAAGAAAAGGAGGCTTCTCTTTGGTATCTGATCATAAGAATCATTTCCAGTTACTTACACATTAACAGTCTCTTTCAAGTTTATGATTCCCATTTAGGAGTAGACCTTAATATAATTAATTATAAATTGTCTGGAGCTTGGACAAAAAAAAGTCAGGTACAGGAAAGACTTCTGACAGCTGCCTAAATTTGTTTCGAAGTCAAGAAAAGGGTTGAAGCATTTTATGAAAGTCTAAACTCATCAAAAAAACAAGGCATTTTACTTGAACTGGGATTTGATTAATAAAAAGAATATGCGGTATTCAGCTTGGAGAGAGAGTCTGTTCTGTATTTTATAGCATGATCTAAACTAGTTAGCTAGTAATCAGTATTTTGGAGAACAAAAAGGGAAGGTTGGCTTTGAAACCTGATATTAAGATTATTTTGAGTTGGAGATAGTGATAAGGTTCTGCAAGGGTGTAACATGCAAAAGGATAAAAATAAGATGCCCTTCCCATTTCATGTCATGAAATTCTTACAGCAACCTAGTAGGCTATAATACCTTTATATTCTGTTTATGATAAAAGTGTAAATCCTTAATAATCCTTTTGGAAAGTTTCTAAGTAATGAGGAAGATTTCTTCATTCTGAGTATGCCTGATATAGCTTTAAGTGTTCCTCCTCTGATAAAACGAGAAGGAAAATTATCTGCATATCAGATTGAAGATAACCCTGGGTCTCATTTCACGGCTGTCACAATTTTCCCATACCACTTGGTGGAGCTATTTTTCCACGTGATCTTTCCTGGAGAGAACACTTTGCTTGGTTCTTCCATTGTGTGCATTTCCTCTGATTAGAAAAAGACAAAAATTTAACCTTTCATTACTAGGTTAATGGCTGTACTATAGGAGTCCATCCCTAAGGAACTTTCTTTGGTAGTAACACTGGAAAATAGATAAATTAAAAGCTTATAAACTGCCCAGTTCCTAAAACAGTCCAACATTTCTGTCAAAATACCGAATGCCATTGAGTTTGCAAAGGCTTCTGGTTGCAGTTTCCTAAACAGACTCCGAGTGCCGCTGTTGGCCAATTCGCTGCAAGAGTTGGATCCCAGGATCAACCTGGTTATACTCTGTGCTTACAGAAGCAAAGCTGAAAGGAGAGTGGCTCGTATTTGAGTTTTCTGTCTGGCAAATCTGATTAGGGATTGGAATACCCTCAAACTGGGAGCACTGGGTTTTCTACAAGGTGGAAGTAAATATTTTAAAACCAGTTCGTGAAGCACCTTTTCTTAACATCGGAAGCTGCAAGGACGCTAAAGGATGAGGTACATGACGAAGCAAAGGAGCCGGATCCCGTGGCGGCAAGTACTCTTTCTCTTCTTGCTGCCTTTGTTCTGTGTGGGGCCCTCAGAGCAGATCCGCTATTCTATTCCGGAAGAAATGGCCAAGGACTCAGTGGTGGGGAACCTCGCTGAGGACCTGGGGCTGCATGTGAGGGATTTACTGACTCGAAACCTCCGAGTTAGCGCTGAGAAACAATACTTTACTGTGAACACTGAGAACGGAAACATACTTGTGAATGACAGAATCGATCGGGAGTTGCTCTGCCCCCAAACCACTGTGTGTGTGTTACCCTTAGAGATTGTAGCAGAAAATCCTCTAAATGTTTTTCACATAAGCGTGGTGATAGAAGATATAAATGATAATCCACCTCATTTCAACCAAAATAGCATTGTTTTACAAATCAATGAACTTGCAATTCCAGGCACTCGATTTGGCCTGGAATCTGCTATAGATGCAGATGTTGGACCTTACTCTCTCCAGAGTTACCAGCTCAGCTCTAATGAGCATTTCTCTCTGATGGTGATGGACAAGGTTGAAGAAAAGAATGCTCCAGAATTAGTGTTGGAGAAGCCTTTGGACAGGGAAAAACAGAATTCTCATGTCTTGGTCCTGACAGCAGCAGATGGGGGAGACCCTGTCCTAACTGGCACCACTCAAATTCAAATCAAGGTCACGGATGCCAATGATAACCCCCCAGTGTTCAGCGAGGATATGTACAAAGTCAGCCTCAGAGAGAACTTGCCTCCAGGCACCTCTGTGCTAAAGGTGACAGCTACTGACCAGGACGAGGGCATCAATGCAGAGATCACCTACTCCTTCAAATCGCTAGGAGATGATATTGGAAATAAGTTTATGCTAGACCATCAAAATGGAGAAATTAAATCCAAAGGCCCTATAGACTTTGAAAGCAGGAGCAGTTATACCATGAGCATGGAAGCCAAGGATGGTGGAGGCATGACCACTGAATGTAAAATTATACTAGAAATTCTAGACGAGAACGACAACATCCCAGAAGTGGTTTTTACTTCAGTGTCCAGTTCCATACCCGAGGACGCAGAACTGGGAAGGGTGATTGCTCTGTTCAAAACACATGATAAAGATTCCGAAGAAAATGGGGAGGTCACATGCCTCATAAAAGAAGAAGCTCCTTTTAGAATTGTACCATCCTCCAATAATTACTACAAGCTTGTAACAGATGGGATCCTGGACCGGGAACAGACCTCAGAGTACAATGTCACAATCACAGCCACCGACAGAGGCAAGCCGCCTCTTTCCTCCAGCACAACCATCACCCTACACATCAGCGATGTCAACGACAACCCTCCGGTTTTCCAACAGGCCGCCTATATAGTCCACGTGGCTGAGAACAACCCTCCAGGTGCTTCCATTGCACAAGTCAGCGCCAGAGACCCGGATCTGGGGCCCAATGGCCATATCTTCTATTCCATCATAGCCAGTGACCTGGAGCCAAGGGCGCTGTCCTCCTACGTGTCCGTGGGCGCGCACAGCGGGGTGGTGTTCGCGCAGCGCGCCTTCGACCACGAGCAGCTTCGCTCTTTCCAGCTGACACTGCAGGCCCGCGACCAGGGCTCACCCGCGCTCAGCGCCAACGTGAGCCTGCGCGTGATGGTGGGGGACCGCAATGACAACGCGCCAAGGGTGCTGTATCCTGCGCTGGAACCTGATGGCTCTGCGCTCTTTGATATGGTGCCACGTACCGCGGAGCCTGGCTACTTGGTCACCAAAGTTGTGGCGGTAGATGCTGACTCGGGACATAATGCCTGGCTGTCCTACCACGTGCAGCAGGCCAGCGATCCCGGGCTCTTCAGCCTGGGGCTGCGCACGGGCGAAGTGCGCATGGCTCGTGTCTTGGGCGACCGAGATGCGACTCGCCAGCGACTTCTGATCGCGGTGCGTGATGGCGGACAGCCACCCCTTTCTGCTACTGCCACACTGCACTTGATATTCGCTGATAGTCTACAGGAGGCACTGCCCGAGCTCGGCGACCATCCAGAGCCCAGTAATCCCCAAGTCGAGCTGCAGTTTTATCTAGTAGTGGCCTTGGCCTTGATCTCAATGCTCTTCCTCCTCGCTGTGATTCTGGCCATTACTCTTCACCTGAGACACTCCTCCATTCGGGATTCCTGGGGCTGCTTTCAGTTTGGTATCTGTTCTAAGACTAGACCAGGGGTTTCTCTCAACTACAACGAAGGAACTTTGCCTTATTCCTACAATCTGTGCGTTGCTTCCAATTCTCAAAAAACGTTTAATTTTCTCACCATGATGCCAGAAATGGTCCCCCCACAAGATCTCTATAACGAAGCTTCTTTGATAGTAAGTATCACTGAGGAGAATAGCAAGATAAGTTCTGACTCTGTTGCTTCTGTTCACGTGAGTTTCCTTGAGTCTTCCATTTGCAAATGGTTTGGTTTAATTTTAAACCAATATTTTGTCAAGAAAATCTTGAATAGATTATATCTACTATTGCTTCAAGTTTGCTCGCTCGCTCTCAATATTTTCCTGTCTTTTCTGTGTGGTCCGATAACTTCACTATTAGCCTTCAAGTATTTCAAAATATTTTAGTTATTTTATACACACTGAAAAAAAACAAAACCACTCAGAAGTATTATGATGATGCTGCCATTTATATATTTTTAATCGGATTGTAATTTTTTTCTTTCTTTGGGTGTTTCTTGGGGGATCAGTCTGTGGAGTGTATCAGGGTTTTTCTTTATTAATTATAAATTAATGAGAGGAAATGCATAAGAGCAGACTTTTTGAAAATAATGACATGGTCTAGGTATGGTGATGAACCTCTGTAATCCCAGCACTAGGGAGGTTGAGACAGAAGGATTGCAAGTGAAAGGCCAGCTTGGGCTACACAGCAAGACATTGTCTCAAAAAAAAAAATGACATGGGGTCTGGAGCTGTGGCTTAAATAGTGGAGTGCCCAAAGCCCTGAGTTTAAGCCCCAGTACCTCTAAAATATTGACATAATAATAATTTGATAATACTATTAAGGTATGTTTATTAGGGATTCTTTGAATCACAGTTTCATGCCTGGCCTCTTTTCACAGCCACTTGTTGGTTCCTCCAAATTTTAAAGATGTTTTGTTTTACAGTTACTAGGGGCTAAAGTGTTGCTCGTTTGTACAGTACCTTCTTAGCACTGGAGAGGCCCAAGGTTCAAAATGTGCTTATCCTCAGAATATAAATATTCACACTCATGAAACTCGATATGCTTCCAACTGTATCACAAATAATTCTCAGTAATTAGAATCAGGCCAGTTACCCAGGAGAAGGTAAGTGTACAACACATATTCTTTGGATTATCAACTTTCTTCTCGATCTCTTTCAGTCTTTCTCAACACTGATCATTCTTTAAAATACAATGCATTAATCAAATTGCAGAGTACTATCAGAGTACTATCATTATTTCCGGTTAATGCAAGTTGGAATGCTTTCATTTATTCTAAAAGTGTTAATACATCTTCTTCACTTGAAGTCTTGCCAGACATGATTCTGATAATGTGTAATCAAATTTTTCATTTTTGGGTTTTCATATTATCATAAAAATTTTGATTTTCAGTGTTAAATATCTAGCTGTTAAAGTAGTTCTTCTATTTAGACAAATCCAAGAAATCTATTGAAAACTTTTACCCCAAATTATAGCTTAATCCGAATTTTTAAAATTACTCAAAACAGGAAACTCCTAGCGAATCCCCCATAATAGGTGGCTGGGGGGGGTGAAATGATCTCAAAACAGGTGCACTAGTTACAAAGTTAAAATTACTATTTATAGAAACCTGAAATTTGCTTTAAATGTCATTGGAAAAATCGGAAAATACGGAAAACTACACAAAATAACTCGAGGAAATAGGTCTGTATGAAAATTTTTAGACAAAAAGAAGTTCACTGAAGTTTCTGCTAAAACGAATACTGGTTTCGTTGGCTCTGTTCCTGTATCTGAAGAACAGTAGGTGGAGCTATTTGAGGTTTAAAAAAAAAAAAAAACCCAAAACACCAGAAATCCTATCCCGGAGTTCAAGATTGTGCAGTAATTGGTTAGGACTCTGAGCGCCGCTGTTCACCAATCGGGAGAAAAAGGCAGAGGGAGCCTGTTCGGCTTGCACGCGCCTAGAGACAGATTGAAACAAACCGTCTCTGTGAGGAAACTGATCCGAGGAGCTCGTCCTCCCCAAAACTGTCCGATTCTGGGGTCTGAAGAGCTGAGCCTGACTTCATCGAGGAAAGTGACAATGATCCCTGCGCAACTACACCAGGAATGCAAAAGGCTGATCCTGCTGCGAATCTTCCTAGGGATCCTGTGGGAAGCCAGGTGCACCCAGATCCGCTACTCCGTTCCAGAGGAGCTGGACAAAGGCTCCTTCGTGGGGAACATCTCCAAGGACCTGGGGTTGGAGCCCCGGGAGCTGGCGGAGCGCGGAGTCCGCATCGTCTCCAGAGGTAGGACGCAGCTTTTCTCTCTCAACCCGCGAGGCGGCAGCTTGGTCACCGCGGGCAGGATCGACCGGGAGGAGCTCTGTATGGGGGCCATCAAGTGTCAATTAAATCTGGAGATTCTGATGGAGGACAAACCGAAAATATACGGAGTGGAAGTAGAAGTGAGGGACATTAACGACAACGCTCCCTACTTCCGTGAAAGCGAGTTAGAAATAAAAATGAGTGAACATGCAGCCACCGGGATGCGGTTCCCCCTTCCCCATGCCTGGGACCCAGATATCGGGAAGAACTCCCTCCAGAGCTACGAGCTCAGCCCTAATACTCACTTCTCCCTGGAGGTGCAAAACGGAGCGGATGGTAACAAGTACCCGGAATTGGTGCTGGAGCGCATGCTGGATCGCGAGGAAAAGCCGGAGCACCACCTTGTCCTCACCGCTTCGGATGCGGGCGACCCGGTCCGTACCAGCACCGCGCGCATCCGCGTGATGGTGGTTGACGTGAACGACAATGCCCCAGCGTTTGCTCGGCCCGAGTACCGCGTGAGTGTTCCGGAGAACGTGGCTGTGGGCACTCTGCTGCTCCGGGTGAGCGCCACCGACCCAGACGAAGGAGCCAATGCGGAAGTGATGTATTCCTTCCGGTATGTGGACGACAAGGCAGCCCAAATTTTCAAGCTGGATAGTAATCTAGGGACAATATCAACCATAGGGGAGTTGAACCACGAAGAGTCAGGTTTCTACGAGATGGAAGTGCAAGCAACGGATAACGCGGGATATTCTGCCCGGGCCAAAGTCCTGGTCACAGTTCTGGACCTGAATGACAATGCCCCTGAAGTAGTCGTCACCTCTCTCACCAGCTCCATTCCGGAGAACTCTCCGAGAGGGACATTAATTGCCCTTTTAAATGTAAATGACCAAGACTCTGGGGAAAATGGACAGGTATTCTGTTTTATCCAAGGGAATATGCCCTTTAAATTAGATAAATCTTACGGAAATTACTACAGTTTAATTACAGACACAGTCTTAGACAGGGAACAAGTTCCTAGCTACAACATCACGGTGACCGCCACTGACCGGGGAAGTCCGCCTCTGTCAACGGAAACTCTTATCTCGCTGAGTGTAGCAGACACCAACGACAACCCGCCCACCTTCCCTCAGGCCTCTTATGCAGCCTATATCCCAGAGAATAACCCCAGAGGCGCCTCAATTACCTCTGTGACCGCCCATGACCCGGACTGTGACAAGAATGCCCAAATCACGTACTCTCTGGCTGAGGACATCCTCCAGGGTGCGCCTGTATCCTCTTATGTCTCCATCAACTCAGAAACTGGTGTCCTGTATGCACTGCATTCCTTCGACTATGAGCAGTTCCGAGACCTTCAGCTGCAAGTGATAGCGAGTGACAGCGGAGACCCACAGCTCAGCAGCAACGTGTCATTGAGCCTATTTGTGCTGGACCAGAACGACAACACCCCACAGATCTTGTACCCCACCTTCCCCACAGATGGCTCCACCGGTGTGGAACTGGCACCTCGCTCTGCAGAGCCTGGTTATCTGGTGACCAAGGTGGTGGCAGTGGACAGAGACTCAGGACAGAACGCCTGGCTGTCCTACTGTCTACTCAAGGCCAGCGAGCCAGGACTCTTCTCCGTGGGGCTGCACACAGGTGAGGTGAGCATAGCAAGGGCCCTGCTGGACAGAGATGCCCTCAAGCAGAGCCTCGTGGTGGCTGTACAGGACCATGGCCAGCCTCCTCTCTCGGCCACAGTCACGCTCACCGTGGCCATAGCTGACAGCATCCCCGAAGTTCTGGCGGATCTGGGCAGTCTAGAGTCTACCGCCAACTCCGAAACCTCAGACCTCACGCTCTACCTGGTGGTGGCGGTGGCCGCGGTCTCCTGTGTCTTCCTGGCCTTTGTCATCGTGCTGGTGGCGCTCAGGCTGAGGCGCTGGCACGTGTCGCGCCTGCTCCAGGCTTCTGGAGACGCATTGGCCGGCGCGCCCGCCTCTCACTTTGTGGGCGTGGACGGGGTGCGCGCTTTCCTGCAGACCTATTCCCATGAGGTGTCGCTCACCGCGGATTCTCGGAAGAGTCACCTGATCTTCCCGCAGCCCAACTATGTGGACACTCTCATCAGCCAGGAGAGCTGTGAGAAAAGCGAGCCTCTTTTGCTGTCAGGTGATTCAGGGTTTTCTAAAGACAATCATGCATTAATTCAGGTGAGTCCATATCAAATACTCTTCTATGAACCTGGAACAAAATATCCCTTAGTATAGATGATTTGAACATCTTCGGAATTAGTAAAATCAATAAATTTATGTTCATAGCAGACCATCAACAGTGCGATCACCTTTCCTCACGCCTTGCTTACAACTATATACATAAACATATTATACCGTTAATACTATATAATATACAATTTACAAATACTGTACAAATACTCTATACTATATGATTTTCTAGTTTATCAACTCTAATTTTCTGCTTTAAATTTTTTTCCTTTTGGTCATGCTGCAGTTTTGTGCCAAGCATCCATGGAATTTATCTGTTAAGAAGACAGCTTCTGGGACTGGGGATGTAGCTCAGTGGTAGTCATGGCTCTTGCCTAGCCATGCATGAAAGAAGTCCTCAGCATGGAGAGGGGGGAAGAACAGAACTGGTTCAATGGAAAGTATAAATGGAAATTTAGTAAGCTTTTATAGACTGGCTACCCCCCCCCCAAGGATCAAATCCAAGACCTCTGTGTGCTAAACACACTACCACTGAGCCCCAACCGAATGGCTTTTAACTACATTTGAGACAAATTCATAAAATGCATTTTGTTTCTTTCAAAGAACATTCATTCTTTCTGATTATTAGGCTTCAATTTTTTTGCTTTGGTTTGGTTTTGGTGGTACTACTGGGATTTGAACTTAGGGCCTCATGCTTGCTAGGCAGGCATTCTACCACTTAAGCCAGTCCACTAGCTCTTTCTGGTTATTGAGGATACATACATTTATACTTTCTTGGTATCCTAAGTTATTTCATGTTTTTAAATCATTCAAATTCTAAATATGGTGAATTTATTTCTTATACATGTGAAGTTTTCTCAAATATACAATGTATGTGTTGTCAAGAGGAAGACTGTAAAGATTTTCCCCTCTATTATACATTTCAGTATTATATGTGTGAATTAGATATAATAAATAATACTTAGACATTTCTTTTGCTCATTTTACCTACACAGATGATATTAATGAAAGCTGTGGAATATTCAGAATTCACAAATGTGGCAAAATGATCATTTATTTTTCATCATTTACACAGATGAATTCTTTCAAGAAATAACTTAAAATTTGTAATGTGTTTTAGGTGTGTTTTGATACTAAGGAAACTGCAGTAATTCCTTCTGCTTCTTACATTAAATTTCCCTTAACTGTTACAAACATGGAAATTTTCCTGGAAAATGTAGATACTAAGTGTTTCCTGAGAATCTTACATTTATGATGTAATGTTCAACAGAAATTGGGTGTAAAAGTGAATTAATCTTGAAAAAGCATTGCCTGGGTTCTTTTGATGAATTCTGTAAAGGAGAGGGAAACATAATATTGAAATTATTTTTCCTTTTTTATTTTTGTGTCTAACCTACTGTTTTTTCCGCGGCGTTGAGTTGGGGGTTTGTAATCAGCGCCTTGATACCGGTGTGGAGCCGACGGGTTCCAGCGCAGCGCGCGTTTTTGTGAGAGGTGGTATTGTTGTTGTTGGGGGTTTGTGGTGTTTGGTGAGGGCGTGGGGTGGCTGGGTGTTGCGGAGGACGGCAGGGATTTGTGCTGGGCGCGAGGTCTGCTGCGTGGTGCGTGGGGGCTGGGAGGGGTAGGCTAGAGGGAGGGTGGTGATAGGGGGGAGGGCGAGGCTGGGGTGTGCGTGGGGGGGGGGGCGGGGTAGGGTGGGGGCGGCGTTAGTTGACAGTGGCTGAGGAAGTTATGGAGTAGGTGGTGGTGAGAAGAGAGGCGGGGGTGGGGGGGTGAGAGGCTTGAGGTAGAGAGGAGAGGCGAGTGTAGAAGGGAGCTACTTTGAAGAGAAGAGAGTCAGAGGAGGTGTCGTGAAGAGGATGAGCGAGGTTGTGGGGTGGCGTGCTGCTGGGACTGAAGGTTTGCATGGGCAGGTTGTGCGTCTGGAGCATGAGCCTAGAGTAGCAAGAAGAGAGGTGGGGTAGGAATCTAGTAGAGTTGGAGTGGGTCTGGGTAGCTGAGTGGTTGGTTGGTTGTGAAGAGGAGAGATTTTGACTATGAGGCCGGGGTTATTGAGGTGAGAGGAGAGTGATGGATAAATGTGGTGGAGGTGGTTGATGTAGCAGGTGAGGGTGGCCAGAGAGTGAGGAAGTTTAAGCTTAGAGTGACGGTGGTGCTAGTGTATGAAATAGCTGGAGGGGTGGGAGAGAGGGAGAAGAGGGGTGGTAGGGGGTACCGCGGGCGGGGGCCGCAGGGTGTGAGTGGTGATAGAGAGCTGATCGAGGAGAGAGGTGTGGGGAGCGAGCTGTCGGCGTGGCGTGGCAGCGAGTGTGTGGCGGGTGCGCGGCGCGGAGAGTGGGATGGAGTGGAGGACGTGGGGAAAACAGTGAAAGTGTATTGGAGAAGGCCGCAAGCTATACGAGGGTGGGTGGGCTAGATTGGATGCGGCATGCTGGCTGTGGCGACTGGGAACCTGGGGGTGTTAAGGGAGGGGAGCAGGAATGAGTGAGAGAAGGCTTAAGGCATGAACTGTTGCCTTGGACCGCTGGTAGACTGTATCGACCATAAAAGTGGCAGGGATTCTCAACTGTGCGTCCCGAGGTTTAAGCTAGAAAGCCTTCATTAAATAGTTGTATGATGAATGAATGGCCAAATGAAAGTGTTCTGAGGATTTTCAATACCAGCATACTGGGTTTTACATGTAGGGTCATAGAAGATGGCAGTTTTGCAATTGGATAACATCCTAACTGGGTCACCTCTTTGAATTTCAGCAAAATAGGGACAATAAGGTCTAGTTTGAAAGATTGTGATGGAACCAGGGATAATACATAAATCATCTTGTTCACAACTGTAGTTAATTGACAGTAGCTATTCTCTCTCTCTCCCTCTCCCCTCTCTCTCTCTCTCTCGCTCTCTCTCTCTGTCTCCGTTTGAACTCAGGGCCTCCTGCTTGCTAGGCAGGTGCTCTACCACCTGAGCTACTTCATCAGCCCTTTATTGTGTTGGGTATTTTTGAGATAGTGTCTCCCAAGCTATTTGCCTCCTGAGTAGCTAGGATAACAGGCGTGAGCCACCGATGCCCCACTAGTAGCCATTTTCAGGTGATTGACTTAAAAATGATTCATGCTTTCATTTCATTGTCAACATATTTGACGTTTTGTTGGGAAAAGTAATAATGAATGGATAGAACAATGGAATAACCTGTGGGCAGAAACAAATCTGTTCTAAAATCTTGTGAAGCTAATTTAAAAATCTTAAGTACCTAGGCACATTCTTGATTGAGAAGCCACAGTTTCAGGCCATAAACAATAGGAGAAAGATTATTTGTACAAGACAATTTTGTTTTGAGTGTTATTTTTTCTCTGTCTGAATAGTGTACTCTAAACAAGGGTCCTATGAAACTTAATATTTTATAAGAGCAGTTCACTCCAATGTGATCATGAGTGATTTAACTGACAAATGGATCACTGAAGGTCGGAGTTATTTTGTTTTGGCCACATGAGAACTGAAGCTTTTGACTGTACAAAATATCAATTGTAGCTTTAGAATATTTCAGATGACTTCTTAGTATTAAGATACTATTGACTTTATTGAGAGTAACTGGGCAGTGGGTTTGAATGTTTACATTTCTTCTGGTTCCAGCAATGAAAGTATGGCAAGGAAGGGAAAACTATGCTTGTCTTCCCATGTATTATGGCAGGTGGATGTGCATTCATTCCATCTAATAAAGTGTTCAGCTATAACTTGAAAGTTGCAACTCCACTGAAAATTGAAATGTAATCTGTCAGCAATTGTTCTTCCACCACTTTTCTTTCAGAGGAGGTATTGAAGCAGCAACAGCATAAGAACCTTGCTAAGACTATTTGAACTTGTAGATCATTTTTCAAGGAATTGGAAGGCTAATGATCAATGACTGGCCTATATCACAATATTCTCAGTTACACGTAACAGAGTAACTCTTGAGTAACTATCAGTTACATGTGACAGAGTAGCTCTGATTGTGGATTGAGTAATTTTGGTGGAATATCATCTTTCTCCTTTTATAAGATACCAACAAAGCAAACACATAGTTGTTAAGATATACTGATCAAACTAATGGGTCTATAGCTCAGTTACTCTCGAATGTTGCACTTTGAGTTCATTTTGGGAAACCACACCTAGTGGAAAGTTACCAGTAACAGTGTATACTGTGTAGGACATATTCTTAAAATATTGATGGCAAATGGTAGCGTATGACAGAAGTAGAGGCTAACATTTCTGGATACCATATGGGAAGGGTTCTGGTTCAGGTAAACATGAATAAATTGTAATTGGGCAGACCATTGACTCAAACAAAATAATCTAACCATATGAAAAGAAGTTGGCTCTACCATAATTTCTCTTAGAGAAGTCATACAAAGATCTACCATGTGCAATATCAGTGCATACAAGTATAATGACTTAGTTCATCATTAAATCTCTGAAGCATTTCACACACCTAATTATTCATTAAGATGTCTTAGTTGAATAATTAGGAGGTGATTTGTTACAAAAGAATCATAGTAAACAACCAGGGATTTTATGTGTACTTTCCCTCTATATCAAACCCTTATTAAGAGCCAACTTTCTGATCTGTCTTACAAAGCTAACAGTGAGGGAAATTGTCAAATTTTCAAAATAAATACCTCAATTCACAAGATTTCTTTATTGTAAAACCTCTTAGAAGCTTCTTTCTTATCTTCAGCTGAAGATTCTGCCAACAATTCATCCTGAGACTGTGTTACATGAGAAAGGTAAAGCATGGGGTAGGGATAGAAATAGAAAAAAATTGTTAGCTTAAAAACACCTAAGATCAAGAAGAAATAAGCAGTCATGACTTTGACTTCATGTGCTGAATTCACTGGAATTATAAAGTACCAGAAATATTTGATTGCACAAGTAATACTACTATTGCCTTTCAAGTTGTGAATTCAGTGAGAAATATCTTTCTCTCTACTCTCCCCTCTTCAGAACCTTGCGTTCTGCTTTCTTCAACTGCAGTTCTAGAGCAGAGCTGAAGAGCCTCACTGTGAGCCAACACAGAAACA